CCCTTTTTTTTTCAAGCCAAAGAGTATTGTAAGCTATCCTTGGATACAAACTAAAAATCTGTATCATTTCAGCATTAATTGCCACATAAGGCATGGCCCAGTTTAATACTTACCGTCCAAAATCTTATGAAATATTTGAGCACTGTTAATGTCACGTATAAACAATACAGAAGTGCATATCCCAAGAAGATGACAAAAAACTTGTAGTTGGTGAAAGACACGCAATTGTTGACCCTGAAAAATTAAAATTGAAGATTCAGTGGAATTAACTGTGAAAGGTCAAGTAATTTCTTGCCATACACAGAAAAAGAAATTATGGATATTTCGTCGTCTGATCAATATTATTGGCTCCAAAAAGGAAAAACTTGTCAAATGAGTTCTTGTCATACAAAATGTATTGACTTTGAATTAATGGCATGTTTTAAAATAGTAAATCAGACGTTTATATTATTGTGATCAATATTTTTCATTAAGCAAAACAAAACATGGTGTTGTTTGCAATGGTGATATAAAGTTTAAAATTATAATATATAAATAAAGGTAAAATACTACCATATTTCACAAATGTTACAGCTATTTACACTTACCAAGGGCAGTGGTGATCCATTTTAAGTATGCAACTGAAAAAGAAAGAATTATTTAGTCAAGAAAATGTGCAGTATCATTATCATCTTCAAAAATGCCTATTTATACACTTTTCACTGTTCTTTCATCAGAATTCTTGCTTCCTTTCCTTTCTTTAACATTTCTTTCTTTTATTATTATCATTTTAATTTTTTTTTTGGAGGTGGGGTTAACAAATGAAATTGATGTAAGGCAGTATACGCTCTCTATGACGATGTGTATATCACAATTACTGCGTTTTAATGCAAGCAGACAAAGTGACATGAGATACTGATGTCAAATTAGTCTACTATGGCCATCTCTGGTAGTAATAAGCATGCCTGATGCCTCATTTTCCCCAATACTATGCTCTTGTTTTTTATAACAAATGACATTCTTCATCTCAACAACTTCACTCTCATTAGTTTACGGCAAAAACATAGCTTCAGCTGAGAATAACAAGACATAATTATCTCAATGATCTCTACTTACGTCCCACACATAGAGCAATGGTGGGCTCTGTCTGGCTTAATACATTTGCACTTCTCACAGTATCTGTATGCTGAAAAATATGAAAATGATTACAAGTAAATTAAATTGAATGCCATTTCACATGTGCTTAATTTTTTCATTAACTACTGATGACTACATTTTTAACACAGTTCAGCATATGTCTACAACTAGAGACAGTAACTCAGAATTCTGCCATTATCTGAGTTTTTTTTTTTTTTTTTTTTTTTGCAACAATTTGAGTAATAAGTCAATCCTGTGGTGAAGTATAAGGTAATAATAAGGTAATTATATTCGGTATAAATGGAAGTAAAAAAGTCCACAGTTGTAGATAGTGAGTTCAGCTTACCTCCTGTAGCTGTTCTGCATTGCACTGGTAAATTTCGATCTCGGACCAATTTTGCCAATATTTGTCGCTGTTGCTCTTCATTCTCTGAAGATTCAAATCTTGCAACATCTTGTTCTGAGAGATAAAACTGAAACAAAAATGGTAAAATCTGACTGGCAGCCCCTTCATCATTGTGATTTAATGCTAATTTTATCATAAATCAAAACAACAAGGAGATTTCTGGAGAAAACCATATAATTTCAATGCATGACTGACTCAATTTAGTGGCTTGAATGCTTTATTGAAATTGTCAGAGATATCTGCAAACATTCTTCAGTCAAAGTCTAATCATTTTTAATCTGCTTCTAACTTTACAATTTGCAGCATATAACAAAACACAGGAATCAAACAGTACAGACTGCTTTAGGGGTACATTTTGCTATAATAATTATAATACTAGGATAATCCTGATCTACCTATGAGCAAATACACTCCATTAAATTCCTCTATTGGGACAATGATATGCTTCTCATCCCAATAAATGTCTCACTAATGACTTTCTCAGGTCAGATGAGATCAATAGAAACCAGAATTACCTCTGAATGTAAATGGAAACCAGGGACTAGAAAAAGTTTCCATGGTAAAACCCTACACGGAAAATACTAGTATATGATGAGCATCTCTTTGTATCATTATGAATGTGAATGGTGTATCTAACTCGACCCTTTGTCCTCAAGTTTTTCTTTCAATGTTCACTTGGCCTTAAAATTTAGGTCAAGGTCAAGTATTTGCTTCTGATGCCCTTTCAGAAAATTCCACAAGTGGTGAAATGTCTTTTAAAGGTCAAATGACATTCTTAAACAATTGCATTTATCTATACAGTGCAAGACCCACATCCTCAGTTTCAGAGTAATGACAGAGACTTTCCCAACCAGCACTCCATAATACCTCAGTTAAAATATTGTTGTAATATGGTTAAGATTCACCAGAGAAATTTTACTGTTTAATGATTCCACTTGGTTTAAGGAGGGTAATAGGGGTGACCTCCATCCATAATTCAGAATATATGGTTTTGATTATATGGGGGCATCAGAGTAAATTTATTAAATTTTGTATATTACCTGAAAGTGATGTCATTTAATCATAAAAATGGGGTCTAGAGCACCAAGTCAAGCTATACGTAAATGGCACACAAGTGCTGGTTATAGCGAAGTGTTTCCAACATTCTGAACCTCAGGGTGATACAACCCAACCAATCACACCATTGCCACATTATCCAATCACCCCCTGATAGACAGTCATCTCAAGCCGTAACTGATGGGAGCAAAGTGATGCCTGCTGTAAATGATATCCACTCATCACTGCGTCAAGATGGTCTAATGTACTGCTGTATTGTATGGCGCGTCTCATGTATTGGAAGAAATGAGGATTATTGAACAATTCTTCATCTATTCTGATCACTGCAATGCTTTTTTACCAAGATACAGGCAGTAATGTTCAGCAGTTACACATACGCACAAGTATAAACACCCACATACTCACATTTCCTCCTACTCAAGGCTGTAAAATACACACCAGATGCACGCACACATGCGCACACACAGACACACTGTCACACACACAGACACATGAAAAGGACAAATTCTGGTGGATAACATAATCTTTATAATTGAACTGAAGACAAGAATATTTAAAATGAAGAAATGCAGAAAAAAGAAAGTGTACCTGTTTAGGTGTTTTCCCAGGCTCCGTATATATAGCCTGCCAGTAAGACCAGCCAAAGAATAGAAAGAAGGGATGGTACAGCAACAACAGTATAACTGGAAACAGAAAAATAATTATTTTAATATACCAGTATATATAGCTTCAAAATTAATTGACACATTTTTAATTTTCAGCATTTGTAAATCAATAACTTGCAATGCATCATTAGTTTCTAAATTACATTTATTTACTAAAAATATTCACAAATATGAAGAGATTGAGTTTGTAAAAAAGAAAATCACCTAAATATCACTCAGTAACATGTGAACCAATCGTTTGCACTCAAAATGTTTATTTTTTTCAAATTTACTATTATTCACTAAAATATTTACACTTAATATTTGCTTTTGTAACAGAAATGAAACTTTAAATAGCTGTCAATATAGCTAAAAAATGACATACATGTATATCAATTAGTTCCCCTAAATAACCCAAACCAAGACAATAAATCTAACTGGACAATACCACATCCAATGAAATCAAAACTGGCAACACACTGATGCAATTTTCCACTACAGTATGCCTTAAGCAGCTGTCGGAAGATTTATTCTATAGATTCTCTGTCATGCCCATTAGGAAAAACGTGTATCTGACGCTCACTGAGGCAAATGATGAAACCAGTGAACATTTTTATCTAGGACTTCACTGCTGCTAATCAAAGTAGAAATACTGCAATAAAGGGTTTCATACTAAGCATCTTCTGCGTCATTAGTGTCGTAATCATCAGGAAAAATCCCAAAGAAATTGAAATTGTTATTTATAAGTCCTCTGTGGAGATTTTTTCCCCTTTTTTCTATACCAAACTGTCAATCAATCAACTCTATGCATTAGACTGTTTCAGTCTTTATCTGAATTAAACAAATTTAGTGTATAATAACAAATACAGTTTATTGCATACTTTGTGATTTTTTTTTCAATCAAGAAGCTGACTACCATACTATAATACTAGCAACTGGCTCCACAGTTAAACATCAAAATTTGACTGAAATAAAATCTCATGTATGATGCTAAATGCTTACTAAATCTTATGCACTTCCACTTACAAACTATGTGATCAAACTGTGGGCAGTTTACCATCCAGAAGAAAAAAAAAAAAGGATTCATAGCCATAAAATGGAGTGCTAAATCAATTAGGAAAGATTTATAGAAAAATAAACAGTCAGTTTCCTTGTTAACTGCAATCTATAAAATCTCCATATGTTACACAAGTAAGTTAGAGTGCTACTCTAATCCAATGTAAACTATGCACTTGTCAAAATCATGATGTTATTTTTTTTTTTTGAAACTGCATCAAAATCAATGGCATTTTGATCAATTTGATGGTGTATTTTCCCTTAATGTTATTTATTGTACGTCTCAATAATGCATGCCAATATTGTACAGGATGCAGTACTTATCAATAAACTCTAGGAACATTTCAACTAAATCTCTACAAACTCCATGCAGAAAAAATTTCAATGCCACCAATGACAGATGTATAAAAAATGTTTTAAAACATTCTAATATAAAGTTTATCATTTTGGAGACATTAAGGCCATGTTCCCATAGACACCATCAGTCCATATAGATCAACTCTGCATGGACTCTCGCTGACTGCAATCAGCTTAAGTGAATCACATGCCTCCTCCTGGCATTACGTAGAATACAGAAAAGCTGGTGATCATACAAGCACATTGGAAACAAGAGGCAGCTGTCATTCAGTTAAGCTGATTGCATTTAGCAAGGATCCCTGCAGAGTTGGGTCGATCCTTGTAGACCAATGGTGTCTATGTGAGTGAGTCTTAGTCATATGTACCTTGTTCTGCGACTGTGTCCACCACTCCTGATACTGAAAGAAAAGAAGGCAGTTGATGATAACCGACAAGTTTGTTTTGATGAGTTATGAAATTATTAAATTATGCAGAGTTTTACCAAAGCATACATACAATGAAGACAGCCTTATTTCTTAAATATTTAATCATGAAAATACTTAAGTTATTTCAAATATACAATGCAACACTTTCACATAAATTTCTCAATTACATGACTGTCTAAGATCTCTAGCATTTCATACATTGCTGCCAAGTGCCTCTCTTTAGAACAAATCAATCTTTAATTTTTATCATTACCATAATAATAATAATAATTGAATTCTATCAAAACAAAAACAGGACGTACATGTTGATTCATTGAAGCAAATTTTGATTTTGGGCAATTTACAAATTTCAGATTGTGTCTTCATAGTCTCATTTTTCAAAATGAAATCATCAGGCCTGTATCTGTCTCCTCATTCTTCCTGTCTATAACATTACAGTGTGCATGCAGAAATCATCGTGACAAGGAAGAAAAAGACCGGATAGACAATTTGCATGCATGACCTTTTCAATTATCTTCTGATCAGTGGAAAGTTTGCTGTCCAAAACATACTCATCAGTTGTATAAAATCAATACTGATTTTTACACTGGGGATTCAGTACATGCCCCATGGCACATAAGTGAGTATGGCCATTATGCCTTGACTTACAAGCACTCAATTAACTTTGTCTATTCTAAATATCTCTGAAAATGTTTCTGAGGTTTGAACTATACTTCAGTCTCCTTGGGAAAAAATTGGTGTTCTTTTTGCTAGGGAATTCTAAAAAAAATGAATAGTAATAGGAGAAGAGAAAAAAGGAGTACTGTTGCAAATTTGAAACAGAATCTGAAAAATGGAAATGTAAATTTGGACATCTAGGGTGGTGTTTCAATACAAACAGAGATGTCTTTTAAACAGAAAAAAAATCATTTTTCAAATCTTTAAATTGGAATGATAAGCAAGCTATTATTTTTTTTTTTTCGCTCAGGGATAACTATATTATAAGTTCCTAAAACCTTTAACATTATTCTCAAAAAGTTCCCACCAGTATTGGTAAATTTAAGAAACATCTAAGTCATTCCCTTGCTTCAGAAATTTAAGCTTACATAGTAGTACTTGAAAACCTGATGAATCAACTTTAACTATTTTTAAACAAATAAGTGAAATTCTGTGCTAAGCCCATGCTTCGATGTGTTAGTCGCCCTCATCTTGATAAAATTATTTCTTGCTAAAGCAGTAATAATGTAAATAATTTACTGACTTATTCATAATGTTATTGTTCGTTGACAATGGACAATCATCATATGACTTTACACCTGAAGGATTTGACAACTCTGAGAAAACTTACCAAAACACATATAAATCACATATGCGTAGTAAGACCAGACCACGACGGCGGTTATGAACACAACAGGGAACCACCTCACCAGAGCCATGCACCAGCGCACTGGAGCAGGAGGCATATTCGATATATTTTCTTTCTTCCTTTTATATCCTGATAATCTCTTCCCGACACCGCCTGTGAACTACGTCATCAAAATATGGGTAAATATTTAATTGGAATAATTAGCAATTTTTTCGCTTTCTGTGGTCAGTCGGCATATATATAGATTTTTTGTAGATTGAGTCAATATCAATAAACTTAAAATACCATTTTAGCAGCAAAATTGTCTAGTTTATAAAGACNCCGTAGGGTAGATAATTAGCATTTAATTTTGCCATTTTTAGACAAGGGTGCATTGCAATGAGTGCCACACCCAGACCCCAATACCGACAAAGCCCAAATTTTATGTGGAACGAGTTGAGATCATAGGTGACCTAAATCCATGAGATGGGTACGGGGGCCCTTACCGTCTAGGAGGAGAAGCGGTAACGGTAGCCGTCCGGCGGAGCCGGCGGAGCCGGCGGAGCCGGCGGAGCCAACGGAGCCGGCGGAGCCGGCGGAACGATCCGGACGGGACCGAAACCATGTGTACCGCCAGCGCTAACGCTGGTGGTACAATTATTTTAATATACCAGTATATATAGCTTCAAAATTAATTGACACATTTTTAATTTTCAGCATTTGTAAATCAATAACTTGCAATGCATCATTAGTTTCTAAATTACATTTATTTACTAAAAATATTCACATATATGAAGAGATTGAGTTTGTAAAAAAGAAAATCACCTAAATATCACTCAGTAACATGTGAACCCATCGTTTGCACTCAAAATGTTTATTTTTTTCAAATTTACTATTATTCACTAAAATATTTACACTTAATATTTGCTTTTGTAACAGAAATGAAACTTTAAATAGCTGTCAATATAGCTAAAAAATGACATACATGTATATCAATTAGTTCCCCTAAATAACCCAAACCAAGACAATAAATCTAACTGGACAATACCACATCCAAAGAAATCAAAACTGGCAACACACTGATGCAATTTTCCACTACGGTATGCCTTTAGCAGCTATCGGAAGATTTATTCTATAGATTCTCTGTCATGCCCATTAGGAAAAACGTGTATCTGACGCTCACTGAGGCAAATGATGAAACCAGTGAACATTTTTATCTAAGACTTCACTGCTGCTAATCAAAGTAGAAATACTGCAATAAAGGGTTTCATACTAAGCATCTTCTGCGTCATTAGTGTCGTAATCATCAGGAAAAATCCCAAAGAAATTGAAATTGTTATTTATAAGTCCTCTGTGGAGATTTTTTCCCCTTTTTTCTATACCAAACTGTCAATCAATCAACTCTATGCATTAGACTGTTTCAGTCTTTATCTGAATTAAACAAATTTAGTGTATAATAACAAATACAGTTTATTGCATACTTTGTGATTTTTTTTCAATCAAGAAGCTGACTACCATACTAAAATACTAGCAACTGGCTCCACAGTTAAACATCAAAATTTGACTGAAATAAAATCTCATGTATGATGCCAAATGCTTACTAAATCTTATGTACTTCCACTTACAACTATGTGATCAAACTGTTGCCAGTTTACCATCCAGACGAAAAAAAAAAAAAGGATTCATAGCCATAAAATGGAGTGCTAAATCAATTAGGAAAGATTTATAGAAAAATAAACAGTCAGTTTCCTTGTTAACTGCAATCTATAAAGTCTCCATATGTTACACAAGTATGTTAGAGTGCTACTCTAATCCAATGTAAACTATGCACTTGTCAAAATCATGATGTTATTTTTTTTTTTTTTTGAAACTGCATCAAAATCAATGGCATTTTGATCAATTTGATGGTGTATTTTCCCTTAATGTTATTTATGTACATCTCAATAATGCATGCCAATATTGTACAGGATGCAGTACTTATCAATAAACTCTAGGAACATTTCAACTAAATCTCTACAAACTCCATGAGGAAAAAATTTCAATGCCACCAATGATAGATGTATAAAAAATGTTTTAAAAAACATTCTAATATAAAGTTTATCATTTTGGAGACATTAAGGCCATATTCCCACAGACACCATCAGTCCATATAGATCAACTCTGCATGGACTCTTGCTGACTGCAATCAGCTTAAGTGAATCACATGCCTCCTCCTGGCATTACGTAAGTAGATTCCAGAAAAGCTGGTGATCATACAAGCACATTGGAAACAAGAGGCAGCTGTCATTCAGTTAAGCTGACTGCATTTAGCAAGGATCCCTGCAGAGTTGGGTCGATCCTTGTAGACCAATGGTGTCTATGTGAATGAGTCAAAGTCATATGTACCTTGTTCTGCGACTGTATCCACCACTCCTGATACTGAAAAGAAAAGAAGGCAGCTGATGATAACCAACAAAATGTTTTGATGAGATTGAAAGTATTAAATAAATTATGCAGAGTTTTACAAAAGCATACATACAATGAAGACAGCCTCATTTTTTAAAAAATATTTAATTATGAAAATAATTTAAGTTATTTCAAATATACAATGCAACACTTTCATATAAATTCCTCAATTACATGCCTGTTATAGACCTCTAGCATTTTCATACATTATTGCCAAGTGCCTATCTTTAGAACAAATCAATCTAAAATTTTCATCATCATCATCAGCACCATAATAATAATAATAATAATAATAATAATAATAATAATAATAATAATAATAACAACAACAATAATAATATTTATAACAACAGAGTTCTATCAAAACAAAAATATGACATAAATGTTCATTCATTGAAGCAAAATTTAATTTTGGGCAATTTACAAATTTCAACTTGTGTCTTCATAGTCTCATTTTTCAAACTGAAATCATCATGCCTATATCTGTCTCCTCATTATTCCTGTCTATAACATTACAGTGTGCATGAAGAGATCATCGTGACAAGGTAGAAAAAGACCGGATAGACAATTTGCATGCATGACCTTTTCAATTATCTTCTGATCAGTGGAAAGTTTGCTGTCCAAAACATACTCATCAGTTGTATAAAATCAATACTGATTTTTACAATGGGGATTCAGTACATGCCCCATGGCACATAAGTGAGTATGGCCATTATGCCTTGACTTACAAGCACTCAATTAACTTTGTCTATTCTAAATATCTCTGAAAATGTTTCTGAGGTTTGAACTTTACTTCAGTCTCCTTGGGAAAAAAATTGTGTTCTTTTTGCTGGGGAATTCTAAAAAAAAAAAGAATAGTAATAGGAGAAGAGAAAAGAGGAGTACTGTTGCAAATTTGAAACAGAATCTGAAAAATGGAAATGTAAATTTGGACATCTAGGGTGGTGTTTCAATACAAACACAGACGTCTTTTAAACAGAAAAAAAAAAATTTTTTTCAAATCTTAAAATTGGAATGATAAGCAAGCTACTGTTTTTTTTTTTTTTTTTTCACTCAGGGATAACTAAGTACCTAAAACCTTTAACATTATTTTCAGAAAAGTTCCAACCAGTATTGGTAAATTTAAGAAACATCTAAGTCATTTACTTGCTTCAGAAATTTAAGCTTATACAGTAATACTTGTAAACCTGATGAATCAACTTAAACTATTTTTAAACAAATAAGTGAAATTCTGACACCAAGTGCTAAGTCCATGCTTCGAGTCGCCCTCATTCTTGATAAAATTATTTCTTGCTAAAGCAGTAATGATCCTTCTATATTGCCGTCCTATTTTGTGAAAAAAAGTGTGAGCAAAAAACTCACATAAATACCAGTGACACTGCAACCTATGTAAATAATTTACTGACTTTTTTATAATGTTATTGTTCGTTGACAATGGACAATCATCATATGACTTTACACCTGAAGGATTTGACAACTCTGAGAAAACTTACCAAAACACATATAAATCACATATGCGTAGTAAGACCAGACCACGACGGCGGTTATGAACACAACAGGGAACCACCTCACCAGAGCCATGCACCAGCGCACTGGAGCAGGAGGCATATTCGATATATTTTCTTTCTTCCTTTTATATCCTGATAATCTCTTCCCGACACCGCCTGTGAACTACGTCATCAAAATATGGGTAAATATTTAATTGGAATAATTAGCAATTTTTTCGCTTTTTGTGGTCAATTAGCATATACATAGATTTTATGTAGATTAGGTCAATATCAATAAGCTTAAAATACCATTTTAGCAGCAAAATTGTCCAATTTATAAAGTCNGGTCTGAAAAGGAACAGACTGGACACACATAGCATCATGCCTATTATTGGATTTAAACATATGGATGGTGAGAAACTTGTTGGTTGAATTTTACATCTTTATCAATATTTAAAATTCTGAAAGTCATACTGTCTATATTTGAAAGATGAAATCCAATCTCATTGATATGAGGATCATAACATTTATAATGAAGTGTCCGAACTATTTTTTAAAAAAGATGAAAATTTAAGAAACAGTTATCAATAAGAAATACAAGTATTTACAAGCAAATCATAATAGCTGGTTTATATCAAGAGAGCTTACAGTAGTCTTTATTATATCAATTGTATCAGAATCTTGGCTTTTTGGTAAATGAAATGTCTCTGGAAAATTGATCCATACCTTAATCAAAAATAATATCTAAAGAAAGGATTTTATCATAATATATATAGATGCACATTGTTAATGACCAGAAGTGAGTTAGAATGTACTGGAGTATTGTTTTTTTTTTTTCAATTAACATCTAATATAACAGCCAATTTGAAGAGAAAATTACTGCTTTATTCTTATCTCATAATACAGCATAGGAAATTCTCCTTTGATGAAAATCTGGTGGCATATTATAATGATGGTAAAAGCAAGGATATTATATCTCATTTAATCAGACATAACTTGTAATGTTTAACAGAACATGTCTGTACCTGGTTGTTACCTTGGAAGTGGCAATTATTGAATATTAAAACCATATCCAAGCCAGCTGGTTATTGGATATAGATATTGATTACTTACTCTATACCAGAGTCACCTTCATCTACATGTGCATGACTGATTATAGTATAATGGGTTTGTTGCCAGTGACAGGATTAAGAACTCTATACCCAATCTCCTGGTATATGTTTTCCTTGTCTAGGGCTATATTTACACTCGGTGTTATGTCTAAAAACTTGCCATTTGAAGAAAGAGTTTAACCCAAAATTTAACAGAGAATGATAGGATTAAAGTTTAGGTGGACCCCAATATCAATATTTGCTCAGGATTTTGGCTTGCGTTTTTCTATTGATTCAGACGTGGGTTTGAGAATAATAGAAGTAAAATCAAACATCAATTTTAGGCATGGAATCGTTGTAATCACCTTGTGTATAAAGAGAATATAAAAGTGAGTTTAATGAAGCAAGAGAATGCCTGATTTCCATCGGGAAAGTGGACTAAACTTATCAACCGTCAACGTGATTGATGGTATTTCTGATTACAGTTAAAAGGTTTAATCAGAAACCAAAGGATCCACTGATTAGAATGTCAGATTGACCCACATCAAAAGAGATGAAGTTATGTGTAGAGTGTAGAGAAGATAAAATAGTTAGACAACCAAAACAGTATAAATCCTGTAGGTTTAAAATGGAACTTTACCTAAATATCAGATTAAACCAAGTACTAGCATGGTAAAGCTGCATGACTTATTTATATAAAAAATATAAAAGTTCTTATTTTTGCCATGGTTTTTTTTTTTTTTTTTTTTTTTTTTGACAATGGAAACAGTGGTTTTTCATGGTCTCTAAATAATTCAAATTAAAAAAAATTATTACTGATGTTGTTTACTCTATAAGTAAAGAATGATGCTATTTTCACATTTTAAATTAGATGTTTGACTATTTTGCTAAAAAAAAATGTAGCAGTGGGACACAGACACATTCTGCACTGAAATATTTAAAATTTCTGTGAAAACCATGTTACTTTTAAATTTGTGAATTGTTATGGAGACTAAACAAGAAATGACTAGTTACTGGACATCAAAACAGACATGCTTCATAACTGGAATTCTGTGAAGTTTACATATATATATATGGTTGAGTGTACTTGAATATAAAATGATTAAAAGTAATCAAATACACAGATTATTAGAATATCATATAAGTAGATTGGGTAAACTGTAAGGGCAGTAACAGATTAAACATTTTATTTATGTAAAATGTACTTATGACTATAAGACTGATTTTCACGGGAAATCATTTACATTTTTTTAATTTCAGACTATGATTATGCCCTGAAGAAGCCTATCAGTTCACGGTATGGAGAGGGGATGTTCTCAAAGTACCACAGGACAGATGGTACCACTTTTAATGTGAGTTACTACCCTACCCCACCCCCCCCCGACCCCTCCCACCCACAATGAAGTATAAATAAATGAATAAATAAATAAAAGGAAGAAAGAAAGAAAGAAGAAGGAAGAAATAAAAAATCAAGAGAGAAAATGAGAAAAATAAAAACAACCACTATGCATTTGCTTTTATGGTTTTATTTTTAAAGAAAAAAAGCAAAAAAAAAGAAATGTTTTTTTTGTGTGTGCGTGTGTTTGTGGAATTGTTCTGCTTACTTTGTAGTATTGTAATAACCAGGAAAAAAATGAGTTACTGTAGTGCACTATATTTATTTCCATAATTGATAATTTCCTCACGGTATTATTCTGTTAAAACACAAAATCATTCTCAGTCCCAACAATATCTCATTCCCTCTTTAAAAAAGAACACCACAGAAACTCATTTGGTCCCACAAAAAAGGGGGAAATTGTTCATATGTACGAATAAAATGCAATAACCACCAAACATGCTGGCAGACCCATCAATCAAGACAGTATTGATCAGTGGCATACTAGCTAGCACTACAGATTGTGACTATGGGCGGTGGAGAGATGATGCCAGTAGGTGATTAACTCCCAGGGCCACAAAGATGTCGTCTGCTGAAGTAATTTTGCGACTGATGTGTTGAATTAGATTCTTAGTGGTACTTATCAAGTAATCTTGCCAGTGATGTGTGTGCATGAAACACACTTCTAATGGTGCTTGGGAAGTGACTTTGGCAATGATAGGTTGATTAGATTCTTACTGGTGCTGCTGTACTCAGTTTTATATAATATATATGTGCCATTTTTCTGTCTTTCTGAAATTAACAAGAACAAATTGTAAAGAATGCTACAGCTAGGATAAAAGATAAAGATATATTTTGGGTCTTAGTTACAGATAAATATTTCAGCAGCATTAAAGGCTTTTAACATTAAGAACATTTTTCTTTTAATTTCAAATATTAAGTTAATGCTGTCAGACCCATAGGAGTTGCTGCATGAGTCTAAAGTTGATCAGATGAAATTGATTTTTAATGCTTTAATTCTTTATGTAATCAAAGAAAAAAATATGAAATTGCTATAATTTCTTTAAAAATAATTTCAGCACTTTTGTCCATTTCTGATATCCTGCTTACTCTGTTTCTCAGCTTACATGCAACAAAGAACAGCTGAAGCAGATAGAAAGCCGCCTGATCCAAGCAGTCTTGCTGTACAAACGGCGATTAGAATGGCTGACCACAGAGAGCCGCAGGATATTTGGCGTCATAGAAGAGCACTGTATATGTATTGTACTGGACATCAAGAACCTGTCCCCACAACAGTTTGACCAGTACCGGTCAGCCTTTGAAAGAGTCCTGGTGGAACAGGTGGCCCAGATTGCCAAATTTAATTTGATCAGGTAAGAATAGTTCTATATGGCATTATAGTACTTTATGCTCCACCTAGATTCTATAAAGAGTATACAAGGTTGATTTTTTATTTTTAAGAGCAAACGTTTTGGTCCACCTTGATCCTAGGTAATTTAATAATAGCAGGGGCAGATCCAGAGATATTTTCTGACAGTGTTCCACATTATCTTTGTTGATCCATCCTCCATTTTTTGACCGTCTTCTGACGGAAAAAATTAGGTACTCATCAATGTAAACTTGGAAATTTGACCGTCTTCCGGAAGACCCAGAAGACAGCTTCCATCAGCCCCTGAATAGTTCATGTAAATGAGTACTTTTATATTAAATGAGCCTGTTTTATAAAAAGTAAGAAAAAGAAACCACCCATGCTTATGTAATCAAGGCTACAGATAACGGCTAAAGAAAAAGCTTTCATAATTTTAATAATACCACACACCATTTCTTACTTTAAATGTTTGCCATCTTTATTTCAGATCGGCAGCATAAATGATGGATGTTTAATTTTGTCATCTATGTTTCAGATCCGCAGAAGACATGGTGATGTTCAAGCCAGAGTTGGTTCCTGTCACCCAGGAAAGCCTGCAGGAAGCCAAGGACTGGCTGTGGAACTTGGACAGGTGTGCTGCCTTCTCCAACACTGCCACCTGTGAGGCCGTCCTTAAAGCCATGACAGACAGAAACGTGAGTCATTAGATTTCATTGACATTTGAAAATATTGATTGATTGATTGGTTGATTTGTTTCGTAATTTATTTGTTTGTTGGTCCATTTATTTATTAATTTTTATTAATCATTCATTTATTTATTTCAAATTTGATTAAAAAAGGGGGAAATGCAGAAAGAGTAGGTGCCATTTAATCATTGAAGTATATGATAAACTGGTGATAATTATCCAGTTTTGTTGTGTTTATTTCTCAGGTTGAAGCTGTGTACCTGTTTACAGAAGGCTCCGCGTCTGATGGATCCAGAGAACTTCTCAGAACTAAGGTAAATTTATATTTTTATTAAGTTTTATTTTCACACTGAGGTTTGTCACCAGTGTCTTCATATAAGTTGAGACTAACTAACAAAGTTATGCCGGCACCAGTGTGTGGCTTTTGATGATTGCCATTGAGTGAAATGTATTAGCATGGTGTTTGCAAATTACAATCAAATGGATAAATGTATATGTTAAACTCAATCTAATACACACAGTAAATCAATATAAAAATCACACAAAAGCATATTTACTTCTGAATCTGTTCTATTAAAATTAATATTTGCTTGTTCAGATGATAACAGACATGGTGAAAACACAGAGAGAGGTAACTGCAGCAGAATATTTTATTCTTCACTTTTTCCCCACCTAGCTGTCCCTGTGTTGCACTTGTTATTTTCCTGCAGAATAAATCAGTTTTCTTCTTTTAATCTCGACTACAATAAATTATTTTATTTGTGTTTCTATCAGGTTTAAGTGTCAGTGTTTCTTCAAACTACCTGAGAACTCTTTTTAGTGGGATTTGGGAACCATAAGAATGATTTTCAGCTTTCATCCTATCATAGTTGAAATAGATCCACACATCACCTTTTTGTAATATTTCTGTTTCTAACCCTACCTTGCTTTTCTTGTCTTTTTTTTTTTCAATCCACATTTTCCACATTAAGTTTTTTTATTTATCTTTTCCTTTGTTTTTTTTAGTTCAGCAACTACATCTTCAAATTATTTTTATTAGAAAATTTATGCACGATACATTGCAAATTATGACTGCTACCAAGTATTATAAAATAACAGAGTAAAATTATATTAAAGTTTATCACTGCCTTTATAAAGAAATTTCTTAGTGAAAAGTAAAATGTAAAGTTTCTTATCTGTATTGAATATCGATAAAACATTTGGGATCTGTGTATACTTATGGTTTTGTTTTGTACTGGTAATTTCTGATGTGTAAAGATATACAAAATTAGAATAAATTTAATTTTAGCTCCATGGTGGCCCTCTTCCCCTACATGTGGCCTCATACAATGCTACCAGTGTGGAAACAGTGGGCTTTCTCAAACAACTCTGTGAAGTCACTGGAGGAAAGTAAGTAACAGTCAAATCATAAATTATCAAACTTAATATGACTAATCATGATATATGCTATTTATTAAATGAGGATTTTATTTTTAATTATTTTTATGAATTAAAGAAAATCAATTGAATTATTTATGTCCTTATGCATAAAAGCAATGACATTATAAAAGAAGGACGTATGGCAAGTTTTCATATAATTGAACAAATAATCTTCTGACAGTTATTTTATCACTATAAAAATAGAAACTCAACATTTTAAGACAAATAATTGAATTGTATCAACCTATTGCTATGAATATTTTCCATGTGTACCCAGGTTCCATGCCTATGGAGTTATTATGGAGATGGATGCCTATGAGGGTGTACCCGTTGACCCCAACACCAACCGTGCCAATATTGTCCTGAAGAGGAAGACATTTGGGGGAGTACCCCAGGGGGCAGGGGTTCGGGAGGATGTCATCAAAGTTTTTGAGGAGCTGGAGGAGGCTAGGAACACCCTCAGCCAGATCCAGGCACTGATAGAAGACATGCCTGACCAGAAAATGATAGGTATATAATTAGAATAAGCAACTAATGATTTTTCTTACCATTGTTTGAGTTTTACTGGTATGTTTAGTTTAGAATGATTTCACTAAAGTGGACGTGATTTTGTGCTGGCATAATCAGATCTTGGTGGTTGGAATAACCTAATTTTTTTACTCTTTGGTTATAACAAAAAATCAAAACCAAATATATAACACCTACATAATTATTCTATACAAGGACAGTACCTTTTGTTTTTAATGGGATATTTTGATGTGATGTTTTGTGCATTGATTTGGTGATGGATTGCTTATAGTAGCTGTGTAGTAATGAGTTTTTAACAAATTAAAATGCATGTGATTGAAAACTAAACATCTAAGTGGAAGTCTGTAATAAAGATATCAGGTGCAAGAAAACACATAGTTTACCTAATTTTCAACTGTGACATATAGTGCAGCGTTTTTCCCATTGTGTGATTTTTTATTAAACAGAGAGGACAAAAAGTGACACTGCTCTCTCCTCCCGGGGTGGCTATGTCCCCAGGAAACCACTGATGACCAGACAGAGCTCCATGACAGATACAAGAGGTGACTTTACTGCCCCCTAGTGGTGACCTCTTGTTGTGACCTCTAGTGATGACCTCTAGTTGTTATCTCTAGCAATGACCTCACCTTCACTGCATGACCTGTTCTTAGTTTATCATTTTTTAAAATTTACTATAACAATGACATGCAGCTTTTTTTCTGACAGTTTCTTGCCTTTTTCACAGAAACATTTTAAAATCAGAAGCATCACTTGCCCATAGCACTTGATTTTCCCTTTTTTTTTTCTTGGAAAAAAAATGAAATTTTATTGCTTCAAGATATTTGAAATACTGCTTGAACTGATCATAGCATTAATAATGATAATTTATCTGCAATTAGCTCTGTAACTACTCTACTCTGACCATGAGATGCTTTTATTCATATCTGTAAGTTCTCCTTATATTTTCAGCACAACTATATATTTTTATCCCACAAGTTAATGCCACTTTAAAGTTTAAGTTTCCTGCTCTTTTATATGCCTCCTCCAGCTCCGTTCCCTTGCACCTACTAATCTTTTGACCTGTAGTTTTTCTCTTTACTCTAAACTTAAAGGGTAACTCAACTTTCTATTTTCAGATTGTATTTTATTTTACTTTAAGCTTTATGCTATTTTCTTTCACATATGTTACTGTACTGCTGTGTAGTATATGATAATCTACCTTTGTGTGATCATCTAGATTACTAAAATTGATAAATAATGTTTCCAATAAATTTCTTTAATAAACATACATTTTTAAATGTATTAGATCATTTATTTTTATCAGTTGCATAACGTCATAATTTGGCAAATAAAACATAAAAGGGTGTCTAAAGCAAAATTGTATTTTTCCTCATAATATAAAGTGTATCGGCTGTTTTTCAGGAAGAAAAGCTGTTGACTACCCTCCTCCTCCCCCCAAGGAGAAGAGTGAGCAGTACATGAGTTCTAAAGAATGGCTAGAAATGAATGGACTGAAGGCTAAGAAGTTGGGGTTCTATGACATTTTGGGGGGAGTGGCATTTAAACACTGTGATGGCGTGGTGGATCTGAACCAGAAACCAGATTATCATGACTTTCAGACAGATGCTGTAAGTTCTGTTTTTTTTTTCTGATTATTCCGTTTTACTGGTCAAACCACATTTGGGCTTTTCTTATCCATTTTAGGAACAATTTGTGTAATTTGTAAAACATAGCTTTTCATAAATGCACATTCCAAAACTAATTCATTTTACTATTAATATTAACATTATCATCACACAAATTGTATGATCTTTTTTCTTTTATATTGTAAAGAAATGCTGGATGATAATTTTTATCATTTCTTATACCAGAGAGTCCAGCCTAAGCTCATCAATGCAAGATACTGTGATAAATTTGCTCATGTGAAGTGGAAGAACGGGAAAGTCGTTCACGTGCAGGTGACGCCTGAGGTGCACAGGAGTTACGAACGCCGCGTGAACGTGGTGCTAGACAGTCTGCAGCAAAGGTAATCTTTTTATTTATTTGTTGCTCTTGGGAATGATTATCAAGTGTTAAAAATAGTGTGATGATTCCGTGAAGTAGGTATAGCTGAGATATCACCTGAACTGTTTTGTTTTATAAACAGAGTTGGTTATTTACATTTTAATTTGTTTAGGGATTAATTTTTATGCATTCATTTTATTCTGATGTTTTTCTTTTCCAACTGTCTAAAATGTGATAAATATCAAAATTAATGAACTGTATGAGTAGATATGATAAAATCAAACAACACATGTTTGTATTTGATGAAATGCCTGTGTTTTCCAGTGGCGGAGGAGGCAGGTGAGACTGTGCAGTGGCTAAAACTTGATGCCTTTTGATGTTTTCTTACCCAGAGATCTAGCAGAAAGGATTTATTTTATTTTCTTTTTTAATACAGGAAAATGCATTCCTCATATTCCATTCTTATAAATCTTTGATTTTTTATGATTTCATTTTCTGTTTTGTATCTGTTTCCAGCTTGGGTGGTTTGCAGAAGATATGTTCTTGCCTCTTTATTTCAGTTTCTGCATGCCTTTGGATTCGTAACATCTGTATCAACAACCGCTCTTGACTTGATATCAATGTCAACAAACCATTGTTGTCCTGATAGTCAAACATTTCATTTGACATCTGAACTTACAGTCAAGAATTATTTGCTTCATTTGTTGTTGTTCTGTTGTTGTGCCCTATTCTCCCAGCATCCATTATAAAACTATTTGCTGACCTGGATTTGCATGTATTCCAGGATTGACTGGCTGCAGCAGGGAAGTAGGGAACTATTTGGTACAGTGATTGAGGACCAGATCTACATCCTGATAGACACCTCTGGTTCCATGGCTCCTAGCATACAGTTTGTGAAGGATAAACTCTTTGTACTGATGCAGGTAGGATAAGTAATGAAAAATGTCCATGTTGTTTCTATTTTTTTCCCAAATTCTTTTATCCTACTCGTCTGCAGTAATGCTTGACCTCCCCCTTCAGCCACAGCTTAAAAAATATTTAAAGCAAGGAATTTAAATCTATAATGGATAGCTGTTATTTTTTGGGCTAAGATTTACATGGTGTTTTTAAATATTTTTGCAGATTATTAAATAGAAAAAATCTTAATATGTTGAAACGTAACTGTAGGCTTTTATTTAAGCGATCGATTCAGAAAAATTTGAACCTTTGAAAATTTCAAACCTCAAACTCTTTTTTTATGAATTTACAGGAGCAGCTGAGACACAAACAGAAGTTCAATCTAGTCAGTTTTAACAGTAAGATCAGCCCCTGGAAGGACAGGTGTGTGGAGGTGAATGAGAAGAACCTGCAGGCAGCCTGGACCTGGATCAAGAACCTGGAATGTGTCGGCTCAACTAACACACTGGCTGCACTACAGTTTGCTCTGGCAGACCATGCCACACAGGCTGTGTACTTGTTAACTGATGGCAGGCCAGATCAGGTATTTGTTTATATAGACATGATGATTATAATAGGATCAGACTTTGGATAATGACAGACTTAAATAGCACTGTTTGAATTAGTGAACTGAAGACTAGTGAACTGGCACCTGCCACTTTACCATTCAGATTGTGACAAAAATAGTGCCTTATTTTTATCAACTGATTTACTTAATAGTTTGAATATTTTCCCTTCCTCCTCAGCCACCAAGGTCAATCCTGGCACAGGTCCAGCTCCAGCACGCCGTGCCGCTGCACACCATCTCGTTCAACTGCTCAGACAAGGAGGCCAACCAGTTCCTGTGTCAGTTGGCCAAGGACACTGGGGGGCGCTACCACTACTACTCTGAACACGGCCAGGACCCAGACAACCCCTCACCATGGGAGGTAGGTGTACCTCTGGGGTCCTGTGGGGTCTCTTTGTTAGCTGATGGTCTAGTGATACAAATTTGGTTGAATTTTGGTCAGATTTCTGGACTACAGTTGTACTTGTTTGAACTGACCTGTAATATCCCATGCTGTTTGTAGTAAATTAATATAGTAAAACATCTAGACTGTATATTCTGTCTTTTTAAATTTAACTTTATTTATTTATTTATTTATTTATTTATTTATTTATTTATTTATTTATTTATTTATTTATTTATCCTTTTTGGTTGGGTGGAGAGGGGGGTTATTGATATATTGAACCCAAAGTGACAATGAGAAACTGGAAGAGATCTTGATTATATTTATCCTTCATTATTTCCTGCCTTTCAGAGTGAAGACATTCGACTCCTGAGAAAAGAACTAGAGCTGGGTAAAGAAAACCTACAAAAGATAGCCGATCTCAGAGATGAGTGCGCTGCCTTAGCCTGGAAGAAAGAAAATGTCCGCTCCTGCAGCAAAAACCACAAGCTATCCTCCACGGATCGCGTGTCCACTGTCCCGGCTCTCAACCCCTCCGAGCTTTACAGGTCACCTGGATCTAACAGACCCAAGAGTGCCACAGGGTATAGATCTACCAGCCACAGCACCCCCACCCCACCGCCACGCCCGTCCTCAGCCACAGGGTACAGACCCCGGTCAGCAGGGGCCGGAGGACGGTCAGCTAGAAATCGAACAGTGAGCTGCCCGCGGCCTGCCAGTGCCAGAAGACCTTTGGTTGCAGGTGGGTTGGGTACATGATAGGTTCTTTATATAAGATTATAATGAGTTAAAGAGAACTGTATAGAAAGAAATGTTTTATAAGACTAAATGTAAATTTTTTAAAGTTATTGTACATTTGCATTTGTCAAATAAATAACAAGCTATTCATAAAATGTATTAATGAAATATATTCAAATGCATGTACAGAATGATCGACATTATTGAATTATTTAAAATTTACCAAACAAGATTTTATATTTAACCAGTTCTTTAAGTCTCTTTAAGTCTTTAGATTTAAGTAGCAGTATTTACATGCTATGCCATTTGTAATAAATGCGCATGTATAACTACTAGTTGGACCTATTCTCTCTACAGGTCATACCAGAACTAGTCTCCTCCGTACCCTGAGTAGCAGTGCCAGGTTCTCCTCCAATGAGTGGCTGCTCCCTGAAACCAGAGAACTGTTTGATAAACAGGCTAAGAGACTGGAAGAAGGTCAGTGCTCATGTAGTATTAACCAATATTACCATATATATTGTTTTTATTTCACAGTATGAAAACTGCTCAATAAGTATTATTTTTAAAAATACATTATGACATAGAAATTGAAATTAAAAACTTGGGTATAATTTTTAAAAATATGTCTCGACATCATTTTACTTTAAAAGGTTAGGTTTTATACATGAAAAATATTGTCTGCAATTGAATTTTATGTCATCAGTAAATATTTTGTTTAAATCTTTACAGAGGTTGAGGGAAAAGTTGTAATTGAAAAGAAAAGAAAAAAGAGGGTGTCAAAGTAAGTATTGTGAAATTTTTTTTAAATGATAAATCATACATTAAGCACAAATCATTCCAGATAAGTATTCATAAGTCTCAGTCATTACTCCAATGTCAAGTTTTTTTTTCTGTTGCAACAAATAACACAAAGCCTCTTAAGAATATGATGATATATTTCCAAATTTTCAAATATTGCTTTCTACTTCCAGCCCAAACAACATGTCTGCTAAGATGTGGCTGAAGCACAATGGCTTACTGGCTAAGAAACTGACCATCCTTGATGCTCTGGCGCCCACCATGATAGAACAGAACGCAAAACATATCCCCGTCCTAGACGCCTACGCACTGTCCAAAGTTTTTGATGATGTAAGTTTCTTTAATTGAATTTTTTTCGAGTCATATATTTTCTGTTATTACAAACTGGCTTTGTTTTACTAAGGAATTTTATTTGCAACATACTTTGTTGATTGAGGGATGGCTCTTCAGTTTTAACAGATTGCCTTTTTTCACTGGAATTGTGTATTTGAACTTTTTATTTTTTTCTCCGAAGATTAGTTGTTGAAAATGCCAGAATTTTATCCAGATTGGTGCATTTTATATTTACACTTAAATGTATAAATGTATTATTATTATTATTATTATTATTATTATTATTATTATTATCTGCTTTCAGTCTATGCCATTTGCTCATGTTTCCAACAGAAGACACATTCACTTGGTGAACCCAGACTCTGTTGATCTCAAGGCATATGAAAATAAAGTGTCTGCTGCTGTTGAAAAATACAAAAAGTAAGTAAAACTTCTGAATGCAAATCAGCTTGTTTTCAAGATCAAAAGTATTATTAAATATTTATTGATTTTGAAAACAATATTTGATTCTTTAGATGCGAACAACATCATTACAGTTTATCAGTTTAGGTTTGGAAATATCAATTTTTGCAACCCGAGAAATAAATTAAAGCTCAAGAGAAAAATCAGTTTGGTTATTTATGTAAACACTCTGTGGGTGTAAAATTTTTTCTGAAAAATACATATTTGGTTTTAAGGTTTGTCTTCTATATTCTTATCTAGTTTTTAACTCAATTTCAGACGTCTGGATGCAATGGTTTGGAAAGCATTGCCCGCCACTGAAAGGGAACAGTAAGTTGATTTCATGCCTCATATTAAACTACCATTTGCATGATGAATGATTTACTAGTATAGCTGACTATGTTCTTGTGTTATATACTAAAAAGTAAAGAACATATTTGCAATGTTAGTATAGGCAGTAAAAACAATCAGAATATTTATATCAGTGATTATTTTCAGTACTCAAAATATTGCTTATCTCTACTGATTTGATTTGTATGACATTGCATAAGTTTGTAGTAAACAAATGTTTTTTCTACAAGAATTTGATAAAAGATAATTCTCTATCATTTATTAAAGAAAGTATAATCGTATTAAGTAATTCACACATGCTGATGCAAAAGATACATACATAGTAAATAATAATACTCTACCCATTGAGTTCACTTTCTACTCCACTCTTCACCCAGATTTGGCAGCACTGAACCCATATCATTTGAGGACAACAAGCTGGCACTGCTGCAAGCTCTGGAGAGGTGCGGATGGCCGGTGAAAGAGAGCGACATCTTAGCCATGGAGGGCGAGATTTCTCAAGGCAGGAAGTATCTTCTTCAGTCCGAGGGCTTGAGAAAGGCTTCAGAAAAGCATGGCCACATTGGCTGCTCAGAAAAATCAGAATCAGAGAATGATGATGCCTCAAGTGTGGCATCAAGTCCAAGGTCAATGTCATCCAAAGGGTCAAAGTCATCAAAAGGGTCAAGGTCACCCAAAGGGTCACAGACAAAGTCACCCCGGGGCAGTGTGGCTAGCAGTAAGGATTATGAGGTTAGTTAAGGCTGCAGCAAGCATGAAGCATTAGATTAACAGTTTAGTCGCCTATTAGTACTACTAAAATATTATATGAAGATGGATACGCAAATACCAGGACTTCTTAATATTAACTGTAAAAGGAACTGCATGATAGAGAGGAAGCTGTCATCTTAACCATTAGTAGCAAACATATTATGCTTCTTATAATAATAACAACCCACATTTATCAGTCTAATTATATGCATGTTTTAAGACTCCTGTAAATTCATTTAAGACATTTTTTATTTGGCTGATGAATTTTAATTCATTTTTTAACTTTTTGGGGTTGTGAACTAAAAAACACGTGTGAAAACCCATTTTTTATTTATTTTTTATTATTATTGTAAGTAGGCCCCTGATTATTTGGATGCTGTTTTATTATTCATACAGAAAATTAAGAGAGGAAAAAAGTGATTGATTAATTTTGAGCATAATTTTTAATTTAATAGAAGCTGGGAGTTCTAGAAAAGTGCTCCCAGTCTTTAATATTCTATTTTCATTATCAGAAATAATTTAATATATAATGCATTCTGATAATGTAATACTTTATCCTTGAAGTTAAATGTATCTGCAAAACTGCCTATAATAACCTAAATATTTTATCTGTGATATCAGATGGTGGAGGAGTATTTGATATATTTTAACATAAAGCATTTTATATCATTTGATACATATAACAATAATATAACTATAATATATTACATGTTAACTTTGAACTCTAAAATCTGTAGTGACTGCAAATATAAAATAATCCATTCCAAATAAGAAATGTTCATATTGAAAAAGATATTACATATTAATAGACTATGTAAAATGTTAAAAACAGCAGTGTATAATTTCAGACAAACTTTTTTGGAATGGATTATCCTTATTTTAACAATTTCGCCACAGCTGTAATTTGCTCAAGTGTGTAAGTGGTAAATGGTTGCATTGTAAACCCATTCTATTTGGAATACCTATGCCTACACATGTATTATCTAGTCAGATACTTAGGGTTAGGGTTGACAACTGCATTTGGTCCTTCAAGGCTTTGCTAGTCATATGTATATCTGGTATATACACATATTGTGCTATTGGATATATGGGATTCATTTGCCATAAACTTCACCATGACGCAGTCTATATATAGTATGCAAATTTTTCTTATCATTTTAATAATAATGTGGCACAGCTGATAGAATGATAAGCAAAAAAATCATTTTAACTAGTACTATTCTTTTGTACCAAGTTCTCCATGTTGAATTGTGATATTTTTCACTTTTACAAACATAATTGGTCAGTATCTCCTCATCCATTGATAAACATATTTTATACCATGTGACATACCTTGTGACTTGTAGAACTCTAATGAATTCTACTTGTACAAACCTGAATCTGTTTAACTGTTTCAGCACACATGGCTGTTCAGATTCAAATTAAATCAAGTATCAGGAAAACTAGAAGCTAAACCCGTGAAAAAACGGAGAACAGACTCATGCAACTGTTTATCAAAAACTCTCTATGCAGTTGTAACATGACTTCACTCAGTGGACTTCAGTTGACTTTGACATTTTTGTTTTGTTTTACTTCACAGTATTATTATTTTCACTCAAATTTTTAAGTTGCTCTTGTGTAAGGTAGGGCTTAAATGCCACAAGTTTTTAATTTGCCTTGTGGTATTTTTTCTGATCATTTGAGACATTTTTGCAGAAAGTGTAAATTTTGCCATTGAATTATTTTTAGAAATTATTTTTTCACATTCTTTAGTTTTCATTTTTTTCTACTTTTTTACTGTTGTCATAATGGTATACAGCAATAACACATTTGAGTGAAAAAATTGGACTTGTGTAATCATAGATAAACCATTTAGAAGGCCTGATTGGATGCCATCTTTGAAAATAAGGGGGTTGGCAAGTTCATGAAGATGGTGATTGATCACTTGATTAAAAAGAAAAAATATCATTTAAAACATTTCACAGACTTTTCTTGGACAATGTATCACAGTTTGTTTTGCCTGCTTCAAATTGATGATATCAATGAAATGGCTTGAAATTTGACTGCAATAAAATCTATTAATTTGAAATGTGCTTTGTGTTGATTGTGACATTAATTATCCATAATTCCAAACAAGTTCTGTAACAGTTCTGTAAATATCTGGTAGGGAGAAGGAGCAAATGCAGTTTGTCAGGTTACAATGAGATATTGTTGATTTAAAGATTTAAATGTTGAGCCTAATCTGAATGCATATTTGATTAACTAATAGATAATAATTTCCTCTGATTGTTGTGTATGCTTTTGGTGGAAACCTAGTACTTAATTGTTGACTAGATATTATTCTTTTTTTTCTAATAATTGGCATCACTATTGAATTTGAGACCAAACGGAAATTCATCAGATTCTATGACTTAGTTTAAGAAAAGTGTGGATATCTGGAAATTCATAATGAAAATATGCAAACTGAGGGCTGATTTGGAGTTGAGCATAGGTAAAATGAAAAATGAACAATCAGTTTTATTTTATGAGCATACTGGTAAGTTCAAAAATGAAAAATCTCAATCCAAAATTCATTTTGTTTCACAAGGATATAATGATATTCATGTTCAGCCTAAAGTAATCTGTACGTATGCAGCTAACGGCTTGGCTAGCATCCAATCTAAAGAAAACCACTGAAACTCCTGACCAAAAATAAAAATCCAAGAAACAAGTGAAAAGAAGGTATATTTCTCAGACGGATTTGAGAAAAAAATGCCTTACAGCCAAAAGAAATTTAAGTAAAAAATGATCCTGACAAAATGCGTTGCTCCTTCTCTAGGGCCTTGGTGAGGCTATTCAGTCCAAGAGTGTGAAGGAGAAAGATAAAGTATTGTCCAGTCCGGCCACACAGCGTAAGGTCAGAAAGGTACTGGACACTCTACGTGGACAAAGTGTAATAGCCAGGCTAGAAACAGATGGACTTTATTATCCTGGTGAGTGGCTAAATTGGTGGAAAGAAATACAATATTCTTGAACTAAATTTTAAAATGATTAATTTAGAAAATATATGACAAAAGAAAATGAAAAACTGTCATGTTGTCAGTTATTTGTTATTTGGAATGAGAAATTTGATTTGGATTTTTTATATCCACTATAAATCGGATTCTAATGGAAAAAAGTAAGCAAACTGCTTGTGTTTGGAAGTATTTTAAAAGGGAATTTTCTTGACCAACTGGGGGAGGGAGTAAAATGCCCACTATTTCAGGATAAGAAATTACTGGCTACAGGTCTTCTCTTTTACCAGGCTGATTTACTTTCAAATATTAAAACATAGACCTTGATATGCCTTCACTGTTTTAGTAAATTTGGACCAGCTCATGGGGGTGATAATTTTAAAGGTAAATTTCCTTATCCCAACTATCTTTGTTACAGGCATGGTGATAAAGTGCACAGACTCCAGGCATGCTCTAGTGGAGCTCCATGACAACGGTAAACACAGGATAGCCACCAGATTTATCATACCTACAGGGGGTGCTGTGTCAAGACCTCCTTTGAGGGTATGTTCGTATTTTTATATTACTTGTTCTTGCATGGAACTCTCAGTTGTTAACTTTTTGGAAATAGAGCTTTTAAAAATGAAGTATATTAGTCTTTGGCCTTAAATCATTAGGGTTTGAAACGTAGCATCAAAAAAATAACTTTTATTGCAAAAAAAGAGAACTTGAAAAGTTTGAAATTCTTAATATTAATGGAACTTATCTTTTTGTATCTAAAATTTTATGATTGAATGAATTAAGTAGCTGTCTAAGTAAGATTAATTAAGTTCACACATTGAATAAATAAAAAATGAAGCAAAGATTATTAGTCAGTTGTAACACATAGATTTGTAGAGATTATAACTGATTCAGAAATAAGATTTAATTAAATGAAAATGTACCTCAGTCAAACAATACTGTATCTTTTGCAGGAAGGAGATTACGTTCTAGCCAGGGTGAAGAATTCTGAGACAGAGAGGGAGTGTTATGTCCCTGGTATAGTACAGGTTACTCCACTGAGATCTATGGATCAAGCCAGGTTTTTTACTGTACAGCTTTACACTGGGCAGGAGGTGGGTACAGGGTGCAACAAAATTATATAGTCACAACTTTACTGTACAGCTTTACACTGGGCAGGAGGTGGGTACAGGGTGCAACAAAATTATATAGTCACAACTTTACTGTACAGCTTTACACTGGGCAGGAGGTGGGTACAGGGTGCAACAAAATTATATAGTCACAACTTTACTGTACAGCTTTACACTGGGCAGGAGGTGGGTACAGGGTGCAACAAAATTATATAGTCACAACTTTACTGTACAGCTTTACACTGGGCAGGAGGTGGGTACAGGGTGCAACAAAATTATATAGTCACAACTTTACTGTACAGCTTTACACTGGGCAGGAGGTGGGTACAGGGTGCAACAAAATTATATAGTCACAACTTTACTGTACAGCTTTACACTGGGCAGGAGGTGGGTACAGGGTGCAACAAAATTATATAGTCACAACTTTACTGTACAGCTTTACACTGGGCAGGAGGTGGGTACAGGGTGCAACAAAATTATATAGTCACAACTTTACTGTACAGCTTTACACTGGGCAGGAGGTGGGTACAGGGTGCAACAAAATTATATAGTCACAACTTTACTGTACAGCTTTACACTGGGCAGGAGGTGGGTACAGGGTGCAACAAAATTATATAGTCACAACTTTACTGTACAGCTTTACACTGGGCAGGAGGTGGGTACAGGGTGCAACAAAATTATATAGTCACAACTTTACTGTACAGCTTTACACTGGGCAGGAGGTGGGTACAGGGTGCAACAAAATTATATAGTCACAACTTTACTGTACAGCTTTACACTGGGCAGGAGGTGGGTACAGGGTGCAACAAAATTATATAGTCACAACTTTACTGTACAGCTTTACACTGGGCAGGAGGTGGGTACAGGGTGCAACAAAATTATATAGTCACAACTTTACTGTACAGCTTTACACTGGGCAGGAGATAGGTACAGGGTGCAGCAAAATTATATAGTGACAACTTTACTGTACAGCTTTACACTGGGCAGGAGGTGGGTACAGGGTGCAACAAAATTATATACTGTAGTCACAACTTTACTGTACAGCTTTACACTGGGCAGGAGGTGGGTACAGCAGCAAAATTATTTAGTCACTATTCTATCAGATATTTGATATTGATGTACATGGCACTGCTGTCACTGGTTTGGGCAATAAAACCTGTTTTGCTGAAGCTGAATCTATCAGTCTACAGAGATCAAACTCCATGGGGACTCTCACTGAATACAGTCAGATTAAGAGATTAGCACCTGTCCTCCTAGCATTGAGTGAGATACAGGAAAAGCTTGCAGTTATAAGAATTCAATGGAAACAAGAGGAGGCATGTTAATTTTTTTATCTGAGTGAAATGAAATGAAATGAATACATATTTTTCAGATGTTATGTAGCAGATCAAAGGATCTATTTCCTCTGGCTATAATATACTTTATTTCATTGTGTTCTTATTTCACTTCAGGCCACATGTATGAGGAATTATCTCATCAAAATCAGTAAGACCAGATACGCCTTTGCTGTTAGGTATATCAGTGAAGTGGGCTATGAGAATGAGGACAGGTACTTTTAATTTAATTAATTTAAGTTAATTAATTCTCCAGCTTTTCAGACCCATAAATTCTCTTTTAGTTCCATATATTTTATATACACATTGACTTAATGTTTGGTGCTTTCAGTGTTTAAACTATTATTTGACTATTTTTACACTGCACATTTTATACCCTGAGTTTAAGGTTGACACAAATCCACACAAGTATTTGATATCACTGTGTTATGTAGCTCAGTGTGTTACACAGTCACTCATTTATTTTCTTTGTTTTAGTGTCCATCTTGAGATTATTCCAACCCCTCGTAGCACCCATGACAAAACACATATGCATGATGGGTCAGTGTTAGTGGTAGTATTTTGGCTGTATTTGACCAATGCTGCTTTATCATCTGTCTGTTTTTAAAGAGCACAAGTTAATGAAGATAGATTTAAAGTATTTAAGCTTTTCAGTTTTTACGATATATGTTATTGGGGAAAATGTTGCATTCTTTGAACTTAAACAGTTTATGTTTAGCAGTAAGTACAAACACCAATGTATTTTGCCTTAAAATTCAGTTCTTGTAATATGCTACAGATTAATTTTAGTTATTTTACCAGTATCTCATTTTTTATTGTTGAAATATAAGACTAAGTTCTCATCTATATTCATAAAATGTTTTTTATCCGTAGTGGAGTAGCCAAATCAGATGGTGGTAGTTCATCAAGGTCATCAAGGTCTGGTTCACCAAGGTCAAGGTCACGATCAAGGTCAAGGGAATCTGGTAATTTCAATTTTCATTTTGTAATTGATTATCCTTTTGAAAAAAAAGAACCTTAGTTGTTTAGATATGTTAGAGCACATTACAGTAAGTAAACTTGATTATGGCCAATGTGCAAGTTGTGGAAGTGACGTACCTAAATCTTCCGCTAACAGAATGTTTCATTGTTGTGAATGTGTAAAGTTAAGAGGGAGATGTGCTAGAACAAATTAATTTGGAACAGATAAAGCCTATTGAGGTTCCAGTTGATAGGGGTCATCTTAACCTGCCTTTTGAGGTCACATAACCTTAGTAGAAGTTCAAGGACCATGCATGGATGTCTCCATAATAAAGTTCTTTTATCTTTTAATTGTTGCAATGCAGAACCAATGTCTTAAAATTGGAATTATTCTGTATATGATATAGAAGTATGACTATATTCAGATGTATTAATTCCAGATAATGAGGAGCTGATAGCAACTCACAGAAGTAATGCAACAAAGCACATTCTCAAAGAACACCAGGAGAAGTTGGAAAGTCTGCAGAACACACTGAAAGAGCACATAGAGAAACACAATGATCAACAACGGGTATGTATTTATCTGTTCGTTACTTGGTTCTTATTTTTCCCCCTTGCTTTTTAACGGACATTTTCCTTTTAATGTCATCTATGTGATGTTTTGTGATTTAAGCACATTTGTTAAAATAATTTTCATTGTTATTCAGAAACTGAGAAGACAGGCAAGAAAGTTGGCAAAGAGACAGAAAAGACTACAAAAAGAACAGAGAAAGGCGGCGAAAAAGGGTGGAAAAACATTGAGCAAGGTATTTATTTTCTCATGAACTTGTCAGATGAAAATTGTTGTGCAAAGTAACATACCAGGATGTGGTACATCTCTGTCAGACTGGCACTTGGTAGTTTTCTGTAACTTTAAATTCTAATTGTATTTGTGGTTTTTCATTGAGTCATTAAATAAAAACATATTAGGTATTATTCAGAAATACTTCAAGCCATGTATTTTAACAGCTGTTCTTATAGTGTTTGACATTTGAAAACTTAAATTTTTAATAAAAGCTGTTAAACATTTTTGCAGGAGTCTCTGGATTCAAGAAACCAGGAGGAGACACAATCCAAGAAAAGCCGCACAGAAGAGTGGCTCTCAGATCAAAACTCCTCGGACAAGGAAGATGAGAAGAAAGATGAAGAAAAGCGGAGGTCCTCAGACTGCCATGACTCTGAAAATGAAGACAGTCAGAGGAGAGCAGTCAGGGATTCTGATAATGAAAACAATCAGAGGAGGGCAGCCAAGGATTCTGATAATGAGAGTGAAGAAAGTGAGGACAATAACAGTGAACCTGAACATCAGCAACCTGGTATGAATACATGCAACATATTTACACTGTTTATATCAGTAATTATTCTTTTACTTAAAAGTTTATTCATTTTTCATTGATAATAATTGCAAACATAATAGAAAGCATTTTTTGTAGCATTGTAGAAAAATGCCACTCTATGCTTTTTATGTACATGTGTTTTTTTTCTTTCATCACAGCTGTTAATCGGCCCATAGTTATTCCCTCCATAGTGAGGCTGAGGCAGTCGTTGCCACCAGCTGATGTTGGAGAGGAGGTATTGGCACGTTGGTCGGATGACGGTTGGTATTATAGAGGTAGGTATACTGTTATATATACTCACATCCTTATAATACTGTGTACTGATAATACTGGTACTGTTTAGATTTAATCTGACTTGTGAGAGTCAGTGGAGAGTACTCTTGAAATTAGCTATGATTTCAAATGCATCTGGAATGTATTGACTTTGACCTGATATCACGGAATTCCACACTGAAGAAGGATCTTTGTGTGTATATGGCAAAGTTGGTGACATCATTGAGCAATTGCATTCTGGATCCAATGACATTGAAATTATGACAAATTTTACTGTCCTCATTCCTTTAAAAATTGATTGAGCAAGAATTTTCCCAAAATTGGTTTTATGTGAAGCTGTCAGAATTAATTCTTAGATGTGCCAGAGGCATTTCCAGTTTTATTTAAACACCTAAGTACTACATAATATACAAACCAATTAGTCAAAAATAAATCAAAATATGATCCATTTATTGCTACCCAGCTGATTTTGATTCTTTATATTATTATAATAAGTAATTGCATTGCTTTTAATTTAGATTAGTTATTGTCTTACAGGTACAATACGCGAGAATTGTGGGGACTGCAGCTATTTTGTTGAAGATGGAGCAGGAGACATGGAAAGAATTTACAGGGAGGATATTATCACTGATAATGATGATGTACAACAATTGCTACAGGTAATGCTGAAACTATGAGATGTGAATGTCTAATTTTACTTCATGTATTAGGTTTTTAGTTTGAAAGGAGCAACTGTATCACTCCCTATTTATTTTAACTTTTTTACTTTGAGTATATTATTAATTAATAATATTACTGTATTAATTAAATAACATTTTCTTGATATTTAGAAATATCTTATTTTTTTCAAATCAAATTGCCAAAAGGTCTTATTTAAAAGAAATGTAAAATAAATATTTCAGGAAAGAGGCACAGTTGTGGCCCGTCATCCCAGCTTTTCATTTAGTTACGCACCAGCTGTCGTTCTGTCACTGTACCAGGATTTACAGATGACGGTTCGTTTTTATGATGGCACAGAAGCCAAGTTGCCCTATGAAGAAGTGTACAGGCTGGCGCCAGAAAAGTTTGAGCACGATGTGGACCATATCCTAAAGTGTGAGGACCAGTGGGTGGGTCAGGCTGTAGTGGCAAGGAATGATTTGATTGGAACTTATCATCTAGGTAGGAAGTTTACCAATTTTTAAAATCTTTTTTTCTTATTTTAATTTTGTTAGATTTTACAAATATTTGCCCTTTGAATAATATATTGGGAACTTATCATAAAGGTATTAAGTTTACTTTTTTGTTAAATTTTACAAACATTTACCTTTCTATATTTTTAATATATTAATTTTAAAGAAAACTTTTTCACAAATTTATTACGGTAAAAAGATTATTTTTTCCATACTAGAACTTGGTGTGAGAAAATTTTCCCTTTTTTTTTTTTTTTTTGATTGTACAAATAGATAAAACTGCTAAACATAAAAGCAATGTCAAAAATACTTAAAGATGCACTTAACTTCTATGATTAAAACATTTCCAGGTGAAGTTAAGAAACGCATTGGTAATGGGAGGCAGTATGTAGTGGAATGGGCAGACGGAAACATGGCTGTTGTCATGGCAACTAACATGTTTGGTGCGTGTACCAAGCGGCATAATCTATGTGTTGGTGAGCGGGTGCTGGCAGTAGCAGACGACGACACTTTGCTGTACCTCCCTGGCACCGTGACAGCGGTGGAGAGTGACAGGATTGGGGTTAGGTTCAGTGACGGCACCAGGTGAGAAGAAAAATTGGGAGACGGCCTTTATGGGAATTTGATTATAATAATAATGACTTCTAGGATAAGACAAAGTCTCAAAGGACACAGGAAACTGATTTTTATATATGATCACTACTGTGCTGTTTCCTATATCATGTGCTCTATAGAAAAACAGGGTTGTAATTTAAAAAGGGTGTTACTTATGATTTTATTGTCACATTTTATGTAATGTCTGTTTATTCACGCTAGTTGGTATCCATGTAAATAGTTACAATTTATTGCAAGTTACAAGCTTTTGAGAAGCACAACCCTCGAATTGTTTTCTGAATGTATGTATGATATATTCTGTTGAAAAAACTTTTCTATTTCTCAGGTCCAACTCGGTGGACCCAGTTCAGTGTTTCTGGCTGTCTGAGGACTATTATGAAGACACTCTGGCTTTTTTCCAGAAGAAATCAAGACAATTGACAGATGTGTAAATTATGAAAATCTCTGACATTTGCTGAACTTTCCACATTCCCTAACATGTTGACACAAGCAATAATATATATTGAACAGATGCAATAGCAATTAATAATGGAAAATTGATTAAGAGAGAAAATATGAAATTATACACAAAAAAGGAATTTAACCTTTTGAAGCTAAATATTGCTAAAAAGTTGGTATAATGATAAATCTTAAAGAGGCATAGACATCTTTCCTGTGAGCTGACTTATTGTGATTTTGCTGTTAAGATTTTTTATGCAGTAAAGCTTCACACATACTATGCTTTTGTAGTGAGTGTAGTATTTTATAGTTTGCTAAGGCAATAGATTTTGTAATTGGCTTTCTTGATACTCATAATATCTATATTCAAGATTTTAATGATCACACTCTTTTTCATCCTCTTTCAAACCTATATAAAAAAGCATGTCTTTCATTAGAATTAAATGTAATTAATAGCTCAGTTGAGTTGATATCGTCTGGTTGTTTTAAGTGCAAAGCGGAGTACATGGTAGAATCATAAATATAGGCATGTTTTTACCAAGTGAAAGCATAAGTGTGATTCAGCAAAAGTGATAAAGTTGAATGCAATATCTAATTCAGACGTCATCATTTTGCCTCAAAACCAAGCTAAGTATATCAAGCATTCTATAACTTTAAAATTTGCTCAAGCAATTTGTTAAAGACAGTTTTCCCTTATATCCAATTTTCTGCCACATTTTCTCAAAGTGCATAGACAATCTGCATATGGCTAAATCTGTGATAGACTTTTCTTTCATTTTTTTCCATCTACATGTGCTCAACTGTTAGTGAACTTGATTTTCAGTGCAATATCTTTCATGACCTACATTTCTGACAGATATTTTTAACTGTAGTGTCATTATTTTCTGCTATAGCATATTTTTATACCATTGTGTACTGTAGTGTAGAATGAGCTTGTAATAAAGACTATGATAAATCAATCAGCTGCTGTAGTAATTACAAATAATAGCATATAAGTCAGGGGGCTGTTATACAAATAACTTTTCTAGCTAAGCTTAGACTGCCAAATTCAGATGGCCAACGACTGGCCCACAATTAATGTAGTTGGCTGTTAGTTGACCCAGGTGCCCTCTATTGCGATATCCTGTAACCAATGTTAAAATATATCTTCCGAGGTTTTTGTCACTACTGAGGGTAGAATGTGTCACGGCAATCACAATTTTGTAAGGTCTTTGGTGAAAGACCAATTTAAGACAAACAAAGCAGTTTGGACCTTGATATAGTAAAAAAAAATTCCAGGAAATTTCAGGTTTCCCCATAATGGCCAATGTATACCAAAACCATTGAGAAAATATAGATCCAGTGAGCCGTCTGACAGTTCTTATTTTAATTTTGAGTTAAATTTGTACAACTCATTCAAACTTGACAGCTTTCATCTCCAAATATGGTCTGCATAGTGCACAATTTCACAGTGAGTCTCACAAGTTACTCATGATTGAAATGCTACAGCTGAGACCCGTATGGTACCATTAGGTGCCAAAATAGAGATGCGGGGAAATGCATGGTGAGCTTGATGCCGTGACCTGATAAAGTCTGACAGTCAGCAGATGAAATATTGGCTTATAAAACTCCGTTAATTTTTCACAGCAGTTATTGACAAATAAAACTTTATTTGTTGGGGATATTTTATGAAATGAATTTTTGGGAATAAAAAACCAACGTTTTTTGCTGCGTATAGAAAAGAAATAATGGTTGTGAATTTTATTTACAAAGTATAAAACAACCGACAGCCCAAGTGCCCTTCCTACTTTTGACACCTTAACTAAATCTCCATTGCACAAACTAATATCTCTATAACACTACTATCTAGACCTTACATTGTTGACAATAAAGTGTCAGTCATGCACACAGCTACAGTGAAAGAATACCTGAAACTGATGAACTGACAGCACAATACTTGCTTAAATATTAAAATACAGGTTTCCACTTAAAACCAAGTTTCTGAAACAACTAAAACCTGACCCTACCCAGGCATCAACCTTGTGTCCTATGAATGTTTTAGGTTGCTCAATCATGATGACTGGGACATAAACTATGATATTGTTATCAGTCTAGAAGACAACCAAATCCTGTCGAACACGAGACAGTTGCACTTCAGCGCTGTTAGCTTTTCAGTTTCTTTAGATCTAGTTCAACTATAGCGAGTGACATGAAAGTGATAGCCTACGAATGACAGCCAGTGTCATCAAGATTCACACTGACACTTTAATGTCAACTGATGACAACTTGGAGAGGTTGACAAACAATTTACTGCTTTGATTTCAAAATTAAGACTTCTTTTACTAAAATGCACTTCTCATGCTTTCCTTTAAAATTTTTTTAAGTACCTGTCTAAACTATATTCATTAGTTTTCTCTAACGAAACTTCAAAAAGAAAAAAAAAATACCAGAAGTTAATAATTTCACCAAAGCATCACTTAGGCAAATGCCAGTTGTTCAAATAATAATTCTAAATACAAAGGTGTCAATTTCAGAAGACCTTTCTTCCCTTTGTCAACACATCCAAGTTGTCATTTACAGTTTAGAAAGAAGCACATAAAATATGACAAGCACATACATCACAGAATATACAAATTGACTACAAAACAAAAAGAATGCGTCCCATCCTAAGCGGGGAGGGGGGGGGGAGGAGAGAGAGATCCTAGTCCCTCTACTGGACTGGTCTTCCATATCTTATCTGACCATTTAGTGTGTTGTTAGTACAGATGCATCTCCATTGCTCTCTGTACAAAGCAAAAATTTTCATTATATCAAAATGACATGCCCTAGAAAAGCTCAATTTTGTATTTAGGAAAGCATTTGACATTTTGTTATGTTGTATAAAATGAAATTAAATTTGTATTGTTGGGCTGATTCAACAGACAAAATCACCGACTCCTAAATTCAGAATTCACTATCTTTGCTCCATCATATTTGATCCTTTTGCAATCTTGACGACTGGTCTTTTCACTGTGCACAATTGTAACACAAATACATTTATTGTTAAAAATTTTCATTTAGGGCTTATCTGCGATGCAATGAAAGAAAATGCCCTTTTTAGTATTACACACAATACATACCACATTCACATCAGTGTTGCCTTTCAGCAAAAGAGGGGGACACTAGAGAAATACTTCAGTGACAATAATATTGTATGAATACTTACATAATTGTATCAAAAGTAATTGTATCAGAATTCACAGAACTAGGCTCATACACAAGTATGGCAAAAATAAAAGAGTAGGTAAAGAAAAAAATGCAGGGGTGTTGGTCAGTCACCATTCACATACCTATAGCTTTTCATCTATCATATCACGTCAACTATATAAAGAGCAACCAAGAGTAGAATACTTGCTAAAAATAATTCTATAAATCCATTAAAAAGTTACAGAGGACCTCCTTCTTACAATGGAGGCCATTTTAAACCTTTTTTTTCATGAGCGCTTCTTCAATGGCCCCAGTTTACAATAACAGCATTCATAAATGACACCCATTTTTACTTATTTTTCTCTTAGTTAAAAGATATTGTGAAAAAAAAACACAAATCAAAGACAACAAACCTTGTCCCAAATTAAAATGCAATGTTATGTGAAAAAATGTTTACACAAAAGTGCACTTGCTAAAATTGTATTGACTCTAAATTATCACCCTGGACATTTCTAAACAGACCAACAGCTATGGCACATACAACATTCTTCACCTAGTTGCAAAAGTTGTCCAAAACATTTTGAAAATAAAAAAAAATTACTATTACCTTTCAGTTCAGGCCTCAGTTCTTATACCTTCACACTTAGTCAAGAGGTACGGGAGGAGTAATATCCTTCTTGCTATAATTACATCTAATTTTGGACAAATTTTACAACCGACAGTGGTCAAGAAAAGTAAATGATAAAGGCAAAATCTATCACAAATCCTTAGAGAAATTATGTAAATATTGATTGTTTTAAAAATCTGAAAAAAAAAAAATGGACACCGATTTCAAAATGAATCAAAATCTTGTAGGAAAAAAACTGAAAACACAAAACTACCAACATAATCTCAGTTTTGAGCTCTTCAATATACTGAACAGAAACCTTACTTCATCAAAGTATACATCCTCAAGCCATTATGTTCTTTTTGTAACTTATGGAAATGGCATTTCTGCTGCTTGCAATAAAAACAATTCACAAGATCGTCAAAAAAAAAAAAAAAAAAAAAAAAAGTATTTAATTGCATACCATTTAATACATTGACAGTGCCAACCCGGTTCCTCACCCTCCTTTCTTAAAAATGAAATTGGTAGATCTCTCCAGAAAGAGTAATTAGATTTGCCTTACCTTCCAAATTATGATCACAGATTAATACTACAAATCTAAACAACAAAACTGCTGCCATTATCATAATTTCATAATTCTTTTTAAAAACTAATACAGCAATAATTAATCAAATAATCTTAATAAGACTACCTGATACTTGAAAACTTCAGGACACATTCTTTCTGCTAATAGATAGTATTTTTAAGAAATGTGAAAAAAAGTATGATAATGACTGCTAATTAACCAAATACCATTTTGCGGCAAATATATTACATTGCTGTGCATTACTGAATCAGATCTAAAGATTTCTTAAATTAAAAAACTGGCATTGAAATATTCCTCTCTTTAATATGGAATATTATCTTCTTTTTCCTTGGAAAAAACATCACATGTGAAGGGGCAGTAAGGCTTGGAATCTTCAATTTGTCTTCTTTTTCACATCATCTTTTACCTGATATTTTTTCTTCTTCTAAAAATACTATTCCTTAATGTTAACTAGTCAGTGTTGGTGTTGCTGCAGTAGACGATGTGGGCGTGGGTGTTGATGCTGCTGTTACGTCATTGTTATTGATGGCGTTATTGGTATGATTCTGATAGGCCTGGTTTTCAAAGTTTGTGCCATTTTGTACATATGAAGAACCAAGTCCATAAAGATGCCCACAGTATTTGGCATCATCAATGTTATCCTCAAAGAACATCTGAAGAAAAGGGGAAAAAAACACCATGCATCCATGAAAACTTTTTTAAATATAGGTTTCAGTTTCTTGTCTAAGCATGATAACAGACATTCAGCATTTTCCATCTCTATCATAACTTGAATATAAATAACTAAGAAACTAATTTTTTCTCTTACCTCTCTCATCTTAAAGAAAGCGTGTCCTGTCAGGAGGGCATCACTGCCTGCTTGATGCTGTGGACCTATCCTTGTAAGCTGGAAGATTGTGAAATGAAAATTAAGAAGCTTCTGTTAAATAGAAGATACAGGATGCTGTGGACCTATCCTTGTAAGCTGGAAGATTGTGAAATGAAAATTAAGAAGCTTCTGTTAAATAGAAGATACAGGATGCTGTGGACTTATCCTTGTAAGCTGGAAGATTGTGAAATGAAAACTAAGCTTCTAGATACAGCATTTCAAACAAACCATGTGAATTTTCCCTCTTGATTTTTAAGCAGACAAAAGATTGTACAGATAGTCTATGGAGATTTTTTTAGAACAACAATATGATTAAGAAAGAAGTTTTGCCAAAAGTAATAAATCAACATCATCAAACTTACTTCTAGTTGGTCAGCTACCTCTTGTAGTCCTCCTTTCAAGTTTTTACAGCTCTTCATCAGATATTTCACATCATAGATGTTAGGGAAGAATATCCTTAACAGTTCAAAGAATTCCTGTTCCTCTGAGGGCAAGTTTACATTGGTCAGAAGTTTCAGCAAGTATCCAAAGTCATAGCCACTGGATTGAAAGTTGAAAAATAATTCATAAATGTTTTCATCTAATGACACAAATTACTCTTAAACAGTTAAAAGTTAAATCATTATAAAAAGTTCTGCAGTGTGATTAATAACCATCATTTGATATAAACATTTTTGTTGAAAACACCAGTTTCTATCTCTATCACAAAAATATATCATAAATGAAGAATTTTAACTTCAAAATAGGTTTATGGATTGTTATTTCTTCAAGTTCTGGAACTGCAGTGCCTAAGAGATTAGGGGAAATGCTAAATTTTCCAAAAAAAAAAAAAAAAAATTTCTTAGCTATATAAAGGTCTGAGGCACTTGGTATAGCTTAAACAATGAGCAAATCCAAATCAGAGAAGACTGAATATGCCCACTGAAAATATTGACAGTATTGAAGGCTCAGGGAAAAGTTTCACAGCCTTTTTTAAATGACCCACCTATGAAAAGACAGCCATCGTATTTGGTCGCTGAGAACAATCCCAGAGGTCATCAGAAGTTCTGCAAAGTCGTGGACGTCCACTCCGTCCTCTTGGTGCTGCGCAAACTGGATGCCAGACTTGGTGAGGAGATCTATGGAATCCTGCGCGTACATATCTTCTCTGTGATTGTAGGATAAAAATGTTTCAATCATCAAATTTCAGTATAATCTTGGGTCAAGTTGGTATTTATTTGCTTAATGCAAACACTTGTTCTCTACTTACTTGTCTAGTCGGATAACTTTAAATATTCTTAACTACTCAACAAGTACAAATCTGTTATTTTTTGGCAAAAAATAACCACATAGCCTTGGGTCTATAAAATACAACATAACAATATCTGTCTTATGAGATATCAATCCCAACATTAAACTGAGAATGGGAGAGTTTTTGAGTGAATGTGTGGCTTACATACAACTAAACTGAAATTAAAATAAAAATACTAAGGGGTGATATGTTCCTTACGTGAGATTAAACTTGAAGTTAAACTGCCACGTAGAATGTGGTGTGGGAGCCTGTCCATTGTCATCTAAAAAAGTCAGTCCTATCTGTATTACTTTGAGGAGATCTACATTACACCTTAGTAACTGGTATTGGTAGTCTGCAGTACTCCTGAACTCTCCTATTGGCCTGGCTACAACACCTGGAAACTCTGTGTCCTGAAATTAGAATGGAAAATTAGCCATTAAAAAAACCCATGCAATACTGGACTTAGTAATATTTTGAAAAACATCTATTATGCTAGTGCATGCGACATTCGATTTTTTCTATGTGAATTACAAATTAATCTGTTTACCATAATCTTTAAATAACTGCATAAAAATATCACAGAATATGTAAAACACTATTTTGATAATTTTATGTTCCTACTGTCTTTAGAGGTACATACAAACCGAGCATCGGTGGAGCGTGGATACCCAGTAACACATGTAAACCACTTTTACTAGTTTCTTATACGACTCTAAAAAATTCGACATGCCAAGGGATAAACTGAATAAATCACCCGATCAGCAATAAAAGAGCTTTAGAGTGCTCCTTTCTTAAAATTTTTGGTTGTCAATTTAACCTACTTTCGTGACCTACTTTTCTGCCCCATTGACATACACATAGAATGCTAGCAGAAAAATCTGTTCAAACATCACTTTCGGGTAAAATTAAACAATGCCTTTTGGTAATTCTCTTAGTTATACTACTTCAAACTATATGCTGGCATTTGGTTGGTTTTTATGACAAAAAATTGACTTTGTATGTATCTTTAATTGTTACGGGCATGCAATTTCTCGTACAAAAATAAGACCAGAAAGTTATGCCGCTGCATCATACCATTGCAATGTATCTGTATTTTGGGACCATTTGTCTGATTTTTGCAAATTCTTCCTCAAGGTTGCTTGCCCATACATCTTGAATACCATGGTCTTGCTGGGTCGCTGATGGCATACTTCTTTCCTTTGCTTTCCCTGCAGTGCTAGCCTTTTCAAGTTTATCTTAAAATAGTCTGCCTCATTCAGTATGACTCAATCTGAAATATAACGGCACAAAGACTGTATGCAATCATTTAAAGTGTGACAAAATTGACGTTTCGATTAAGCATACCTCAAAGATAAAATATCTTTTAATACAGAATTTGCGAAGCGTGTCCATCTTACATCAGTCATTCAATTTAATTCATTAATAAAATACCCCCTCCGAAATCTGACGATGGACTGTGCTTAAGCCAATCGGTTGAACCGCCACTCATATCACATCCTGTATGTAACCACACAGGAGGTACAACCTTTCTTAACCTAATCATCCCTTGATCAAAAGAGACCACTTAACCATATTAACTGCACATATTGCTGTAGTAAAGGAGTAAACAACTGGTATATATTCGTCTCGTGCACCGCGGGCAAGGGCACTGGGGGTCGGGGAAATGTTGGCGGGTTTTCGATCTTTTTAATCGGTTACTTTCCATAAAATCGATAGTGTAGCAAACTACTCTAAGTCTTCTTACCTCACACCATGCAGGTTGCTATGATCGCCCCTCGGTCAGGGGTTAAATGATAGTTTTTGCTTGGGTTTCCTGTCTTTCTTTTCAGAACTTGTACTTAGCTTGGCGACTGCGCAAGGTGGGCAACTAGTGCATTGTGGGATATATAGAGCGCAAAATCGATGACGTACTTCACACTTCCTGTATGATTAAAGGTATGAAGTTTTAAAAACACGTCTATTTAGCTTTACAATTCCGACTGATCATCACTTAGAACATGAGCTGGATTTTCAGCAAACCTAAGACTAATTTGCCAGCCCCGACGGCCTTGGAGCAACAAAGAACAAGACAGATAGAATCGTTGAAAAATTTACACAGGTCTGTGCTAGTGTTTATTTACAGATCTGACACCATACTGATACCACTAGTAGTAGTAGTTACCTAAGTAAGGGCGAAATAACTATTGTTACAGTTTATTAAAATATCGCAAAAAATCGCAAAAAATATTCTTGCCTTCCAAATGTGACGTATTGTACTGGTGGAGAGTCCAAACTTTTGGTGTTTTCCTTTGCCAGATGATAATGATTTGTTTGTGGTTTTGTTTTACAGTGTTGTAGAAGTGCTAAGAGATAGAGAATACAGAATAACATTTACTGTGGTCGGAGGCCCTTTAACTCTACAAATGTAAGTATTTCAGAAAACATGACATCACACCATGTGTACTAACTAGTAGCCTTATTGTTTCATTGTCTGTTTGTTCAAATTCTTTCATGCAATATGTTTACCTACATGTAAGAGTTCCCTTATATACTGTAGCGATTTGGGGGGAGAAAACACCAAGGCTCGACCAGGACTCGAACACGCAAACCGTGCGACCGCTCTTACCTACTGAGCTACCGAGCCCGGGACAATCCCGGCCAGCCACTACAATACTCTCCTTTTTACCAAAATCAGTATTACATTTTAATTCATGGATGACATGCAATGTTTCATCTATCTGATTATATCAATTAGCAATGTGTTTTATCCTGGGGTAGCGCTAGCAATTTTTTTCACTTAGCCAAGTCACCATATTTTTGTCAATTTGTTATCAAAATGGTTATAATTTGGCTAAAACATGTCAAATCAAGCCCCTTTTCTTTAGCCAATTTAAGTCAGTTTTAGCATTTGGTTAAATTGGCGAGTGTTAGCGCTACCCCAGGTTTTATCTCATATTTTACTTTTATTCAATGGTAAGGTACACACAAAATGAATTCTTTGTTATTCCATACTGAAACTTAAGCCTAATCTTATCCTTATACTCTGTGCCTAATAAATATGTACACTGTTACATACAAGGTAATAAGTAAATATATTTTGTGATGCAATTGTTCCCTTGTTTTAAAAGACATCAAAAATGAATTTTGAGACTTTTCTTGACCTAACAATATTTTCTACTAAAGATTGATTTTTTCATTTTCCAGAAATTTACCCCCAGGATTTCCTTCTGTAAAACCAGAAGTGACAGTACAGCCTGCGATACAACACCCGTGGGTGAACAGTCAACTACAAGTGGTGGCCTGTCCTGCTCTGCTAAGTGTAAGTAGTCTTCTCTTGAAAACAAACATGGGCACTGCCACCTGGTGATCCATGGTGGATTTAGAGTCATTGAAAATCCACAAGCTTTGGTCAATTTGAAAGCAGGAATGCATTGAGGATGCTAACTTTTATAGATACCCTGGTCAAGGGGCACATAAATTGAGCTCGATCAACAGGGCTGCGTGCAGTATTGTGTGATTGTGCTGTTTTGATAGAACAGGCCATGGTAAAGCTGCCCACTCCTGTGGCCAAGAGATGATGATGATGATGATGATTGGTGTTGAGGTAAAACAAACAGCATTTTTACTGATCCACCACTTCCACCACCGATAGATAGCTCTGTATCTTTGGTGAGGCCAACTCGAACTAGTTGTACTTCTCTTGCACCAGGCATTTTGATTTTGTGCATTGAGCTCATTTTGGTTGAAACCCAAGACCCTTTCCTTTTGCCTGATTGTTTTGTTCCTTTGGTAAGGCCAACTGGAGGTCTTTTTGTATTTTTTGCAACTTTTGTGGTAAGTGTTGCATTATAGGTGGCAGCAGCAGCTGAACTGATATTTTTCCTGAATGGGTGCCCATTGTTTTGCAAAGCAGGAGAGATTTTTAAAAGGTCATAAAACAAAGATTGAAAGGTTAAATTTGAGTGGCTACTTATTTGATGCTCTGTTTGAGAATTCAATTTGGTCATTACTTTTCCTGACATAAAGATGAGTGTGCACAGAAGTATCAGGATGAAGATAAGTAATACAGTCTGTTTTTTAAAGCACCACCATTTTAAGTTTTCTGTGCTGAATTCAGATGTCCAGCTGTCTTTGCAGTCTGCCTTGGCAGTGGAAAGAGCACTTGATAGTGCACTTTGAAGATGTCCTTTTAAAAAAGATTGGTCTGTGTCATCCAAAGCTTTACATAGTTTCTCAAAGGGTTCCTTTGCAGGATCACACATCATAATGTATTCCATGAGTTTTGTATTCTTTGCAGTATTTGTTTGGCCATTAGGAGCTGTTTGTGTTGCTATGTTTTCATATTGGTCATCACTGATGATACCATCTCCAATGAGATGTGGTGCTACCTCATCACTGTGCATGTTTTCTGTGACATACAGGAATCCTTCGTGGTTCAGCAGTGCATTTTTGTGATGTCTCTCCATGCTGAAAACAAAATCATAGAGTTATTTTATGTATGTAATTTGATTTGAAAATTTGTGCATAATAATTTTTAAGATTAAAATTGTAATTTGTTTGTCCAATAATGGAAGATACAAAGTTCTTCATATTTAATCAGTCTTCCTTATTTCCTCTTGTCCTGTTTCATTGGCTGTCAGACAAGATTCTTGTCTAAAATCTCACAAATTAGGCAAGATTTCATGGGAGAGTCAGTGGATTCAGAAATAATTGCACACTAGCAAGTCCAATGTAACCCTGAATAAATACAAACAGAATTTATCCACATATAATTTTCAATTGCTAATAGGTCGTTTTCTCGTAAGTTTTGACAAGGTAGTCCACTTATTTAAGTTATCACAGATGTTACCCATTGTGTCCAATCCGGGCTGGGGCACGTCAAATGCAGAGTTTATATTTTCCAAATGATATGTGTAGATAACTTTCAATTAATGATAACCTATGGTATTTTGCTTTGTAGTTAAGTTAGCAGCCTTACAGCTTATGTTGGGATTTTTCTGAGCCTAATAGTAGTTATGGGTAATAGGGTAATATGACACCGTTAGTCTTATTTTATGTACAGACCAGTACCTAATAAGCGGTCTGAGCCTAGTGGGAGCTTGCTTCCAACCCCCTCCATACATCTGCCCTTTGTTGCATTTGCTGATTTTATTACTAGTACATGAGAGAAAATTTAACTTGTCATTCTCTTGTTGGTCTTTTGATTAATTTTACCTTCTAACTCACGGATAAAAAAAATTACTAGTACTGGTAGTAGGCCATTTGCTGATGTCATCATACTCCTTGAATGAGTTTAACCTTTTGGTACTTTTATTGTCAAAAAAGTAAAGTGCTACTGCATGATGTTTGATGCCAGGTTAATTGAAGTTTGACTGAATACACCTACATAGAAAAAAATTAGAAGCCACACATGTGCCATTTTGTACTCACCTTGTCTTTGTTACCACTCCTACAGCAACTGGGAGATGTTCAGATATTCTCAATATCTAAGTACACGTCTGTTACTGATGACCTCAGATAACCTCAAAATGCTAGCTTTGAGCCTTTTGGACCTCGTTAGATTGTCCAGACAGAGTGAATATATCTGTACATATATATCATTGTTTAAGCTAATCAAATCCTTTGACTGCTGACAGAGATATTGATGCCATGAACGAGATCAGATTTGGCTTCACTCTTATATACAAGTAGTTGTCAGGGATTCTACTACAGCAGTGGAATTTCCACAGTCCCAAAACAGAATTTAGGAAGTTATTTCTTAAGCAGTGTTTTCCCACCTGCCCGGGCCATGAATCACTCCCTTTTGTTAAGGTATGTTGAAATGGGTCGCCGTGGGTGTCAGCTGTCAAAGGTCAATGCTTCTATGGGGGCCCCAATCTACATATGAATACAGGCGGGGAATTTCCATCTTTATGAAATTCTTTTCCGGCCTACAGGTCTCGAAATTTGGAAATTTGGTAGAAAATTATTACTAGTATTTTTTTAGAAATATAATTTATTGCCTTTTTTTATTTCAGAAAGTTTCTCTTTTATCAGTTAATTTTTTTGTACATGTTTATTTATAATTTTGTAAGATGTTCTTACACTTTACTTTTATAGATTTATGACAATAAGTATATAAAACAAATAATAAGAAGTTATCAGCCCCAATGGGTTTATGATTAAGCATTAAAAATATTCACAATATAAGGATACTGAAATAAGTATATATTGACACTCCTAAATAAATATTGAATTAACATAGTTTTTCTTTCCAGTTTACAGTTCATTCAGATTTGAGTCGGGTCATCAAAGATATCATGGAAGAGTTTCAAAGAAATCCACCTGTGTTTACTGCCACATCCTAGTAAGTTCATTTATATCCATGTTTAACTTAATATTTGGGACCAGACAACTGATATTTTTATTTCTTGATTTTTTGTCCATGTTTTTTAACAAAGAAGTAGTTCCCTTATTTTGTTAAGATAATAGTGATGTTCTATGTGTTGTGATACCTTTGCTGTTACATGTACCAAATTTCACTTAGTTCCATTCATTTTCTGCTATGACAGTGGCCAGCCACCAGGTGGAGCTCCATCACTACCATATTCCCTCCACCCGTCTACTGCAGCTCCTACGTTACCCAGTTATGCTAGCACATACGGCAGCACAGGTCCTCCAGAGTTCCATGATTACGTGAGGGATACAAATGTTATGTCACCCACACTACCAGCCACACGGGGGGTGTACAGACCACCCACTAACGTAACAACGGGAAGTCAGGTCAGAGAACTTACAAGTTGCCAGTCTTTCCCTTTCTTCATAGGAGTGATACAAAGAAAATGACCGGACTTGTTGCCAGCAATGTCACAAGGGGGAGTTTATGTTAAAAAAGAAATGTTTTTACTGTGACACCTACGTGTGTTCATAGAACCTAGATCAACTTCTGATTTAGAATGGATCATTTGTTGGCCAAAAGAGAGATACTTTCAAACTTCTAAACCTCCCCTGCCTAAGGGCCAGATGGAGTTTGGGGAGTTTGTGAAAACTGAAGTCTGTTATGCATAATAGGGCAACCAATAAACAGATCGGTGATTATTTCACAGTTTCTGTAGTTTGAAATATTACTTCCTCTACAGACAGAATACCGAGGCAAACTAGCTTTTAGACTCTTTTACAAAAAGAATTGGAACAAAGGACTAGTGGATATTTGTCAGTGATCAAAATACTCTTAATTGCTTCAAGAAGACTAATTGTTTTGTTTATCATTTCAGGAACCCAGTTTTTCATTTACAAAATACCAAATGCCAGAAATACCAGTGTCATTTCCCCAGTTGCATAACATGAGGTAATGGTGATTTTTTTTCTTTAGTTCCATCTCAGATTTGCACTGAAAGAAATAAGCTTGTGTGTGTAACAAAGGTACATACAAATACATACATAATTTGAAGTACTATAATTATAGAATATTGATTATAAGTATAGATATAATCTGTGTACCTTTTGGGGAGTAAAGTTTAGCTGAGATATTCTGATTTGGATAACAAATCTATGGCTAAAATTGTTTGTAGTTTGGCTCGTAGATGTTATATAAAAATAGCTATGTCTATTCCTATTTAACTTTACAGCATTCAACAGCTTCAAGAGTTTGAAAATGATGAGGGGAAACTGCTGGGGATCATCGAGGAACTGCCTTCTCTAGTGCAGTTGAAAAAAGACAGAAAGGAATTTTGTGAAGAGAATGAAAAATTAGCAAGTAGGTTTATGTTTGGTTGAGGGGTTGAGAATGAATCTAGTTACTCTCTTAATTTAGTCAGTGAAATTTAGTGTATTTGTTAATTTGAAGCATACTCAGTACTTAAATATTTGCATCATTCATGATGTAGAAATCTGCTTTACCTTAAAACAGATTTTTTTCCCTGCTTTATCTTGTGCTACTTTGTTCAGTGCTACAGTAAGATAAGTACAAATGTTCCAGATGTCATGCTTCAGGTATCATTGATAATGTTTAACTTTTCTTCTATGACTTTGTGTATGATTTGGACTTTTAGACTGGAACAAAATGCAGTGACCTTGGGTTTTAATTATTTCTCATTTTTTGCCTTTCATTTTAGGGGAAAACCTTTCAAAAGAGCCAGAAATAGAATCTTTAAAAGACAGTTTGTCAGAGCAGGTAAGATATATATTTCACATTGCTCCACAAAAGTGATTTCTTTTTCCACAGAAGTGATTTCTTTTTTCTTTTTTAGATGAACTTAAATGATTTCATGGCCAAACATATCTTTTAATTAAATTGAAGATGGGGGATATGCTCCATCAAGCAAGTATCCAGTTGTGCGAGTTTATGCATGCATGTCTCACAGTGTTTGACCACCAGATGGCAGCAGGGGATGGACACTTCTTGCCACATGTTACTGTGCTGCCATCTGGCTGCCACATACTGTCAACTGTGACCAAGATTGACCAATGACAGTCAAAACTTTCAAGGGACAGATTCAACTCTTCAACTAGAACCAGACATTTTGATAACATACATACTAAAAACATTTATACCATGATTACAAGATTTTAATATAGAAGTTAAATTTCATTTTAATATTATTTTCCTTGTAGTTCACAATACTTAAAGATTTAAAATCACAGTTTGACCAAAATGTGCAGAAACAGCAGGAACTCCACAGTACATTTAACCCAGGCCAACTGCAAGCCAACCTCAAGATTGCTGTCATGCAGGCAGAGGAGGCCTCAGAAAATATAGCACAGGAATTCTTAGATGGTAAGTATGGTAAACAGTTTGGAATGAGACTTTGGCTTTATTTAGAAATTATTAGACAGCATATTTGATTTTTTTCACAGGTTGCAAGTTGTATCACAAAAGAATTTTAAGTTTATTCAAAAGTATTCCTGAGATGTTTTTATGTTTTGTACATTTTTTATTAATTTCACAATATTTGTTTTATATTACAACCTGTTATTCAAAAGCTACTATGTATAAATAGCTTCTTTGGATACACTTAGTGTTAACAGAATAAATATCTTTAAAGGCTGAATAAGTACTTTAAGTATTTTATCAACTGTATATACCCTTTATTGTGATGAAACTAGAATATATGTTAAATCATGAATTATTAATATTTTAGGAAAGTGTGATATCAGTACATTTAATCAACAGTTTTTAGAAAAAAGAAAGGTAAGAGATAGGATAGTGATCTGTTTTACTCAGTTTATGTAATGTTATTGCAGTCAGTGTGATGTAAATATTAAAAGACCACATGAACCTGCACAGTAATTCTGAATATTACAATTTTTCAGGATGTAGCTGATTAGTATATTTTCTAACTGAAAACAAGACAATCTTTGTGTCTTATTGATGGATGAGATAGATGTTTAGAATTCTCACCTTTTGAAATTACACAATGATAAACAGTAACAGGAATAAAATCATATCATTTAATCTTTGATCAGTTTTGGATACAGATATTTCACGTGATCTTGGATCAGTTTCTCAAGGTCAAATGTCATGTCTTTACAGATTTTTCACTTGAGGAGAACAAAAGAGGAGAAGTTACAGCAGCTTCTTGTTCACCAAGGCAGAGGTGGAGGGGGATACTACTGACACATCAGCACTTCATGAAGAGACCATTTCCAGAGACTGTTGTACTAACTTTGGATCGATCTGTCTCCAAGGAGATTCTCACTAAATTGCTATCAAGTTCTGCGGCTTAGATGTCTCGCAAGCCCACTGGAGCTGTTAGAGAGTAATTAATTATCGCTTAACGACTTCAGTAGGCGTGCCAGACATCTAAGCCATTTAAGCTTTAGTGAGAAACCCCTTGGAGATTGGTCAATCCTGTTAGATCGATCTGGGCATGGGAACCCAGTCTAAGACAAACGGCCAATAACAGGTGTTGACCCTAGTGCCCTAAGATATTTAACAAAACAGACTTAAGAAAGCCTGATAAGTTTGGGTGCACAGGGTAGTTGACATGAAGTTGGCTGACCAAAACATCAGTCAGAAAAATCAGCCTGCTGAAATGCAGTTGACTCACTAAAAATCATAGCATAATCATCTAAAGCAGAAAATCACCTGAGCAGAAAATCAATTTCAAGACAGTTAGGATTTAGTCTAGGAACCAAATGTGAATACTAAGGATTTTGTGAAAAGCAAGCTTTAATTTTTTTTATTTAAAACAGTTAACTTTCCATCATCTTTATAGAAGAGACAATGAAAATCATATTTTAACACATCATATTTTGAGTTATAAAACTTAAACTGTGCCTTCAGTTGGCATGGTACCTTATTCCCTCCTCCTTCCCCCCCCCACCCCAAAGATGAACACTACATCTTACAGAGAAGGAGTGTAACAAAATTTGCTATCACTGGTATTCCATTTGAAAGGATTTATGATGATAATTAGGTAATTTAATGTGCCCAAGTTTCATCATATCATTTTGGTTCAAGAATGATCTAGGAATGCACTGTATTGAGAGATATGGTTTATTGTGATATGTACCACTTCACATGGTGTACCCTTTCAGCTTCAAAACTGAAACCTAGTCAGTTCAAGGTTGAATTAAATTAATATTTAGATATGAATATAATATATAAATCAATATTATATTTTATAAAGTCACAATGTAATATTTGGGAATTATGAATACATTTAAGTTTTAATATCTAATCAGAAAGGAATGTTTTATGTTCTCAAGTTTGAAGATCACAAAATAATTTATAATTATTGTGGATTTCAATACAGCTGCTGATTGTAAGGTTACTAAAAATAAGGCAGATAGCTAATTACAATTGAAATATTGTTACTGTGATTTCAAATTTCATTATCAAAGGAATTAATTTACATACTAACCTATGCTGCATTTAAGATCTCTCGATGTTTAAGACTGAAGACAAAATGCAAATAATGAGAAATTAAAAAAGTATTAAAATTTTCTTCTTGTTTGTGATTGTTACATAAGTTACGCCATTACATCTTTAAGACAAGACAAGAACTTCCATTAGTTATATTTCCCAGTAAGAATCTACATGTAGTAATCTGATAATGTGTGAATTTATCATGTAAACATGATCGTCACATCTAGCTAAATAGAAATAGATACGTTGAGTCCTGTATTATTTCACTTCATTAGCCAAATTTCCTGCTGTGGTACGTGAGACGCACTGCGTCAAAATAAAATCCTCCAAAACCAACTTCACTTATAACTCTAACTTTTACTTCACTTTAACTTCACTCTAACTTTTACTCATAACTCGTAAGAAAAATTTTGGGGCTAAAAATACAATACGTTCAGGTTGATCCTTTCCAAATCCATACGCTGTGACTAGACATTTTAAAGGCAACTTCTTTTATACGATTTGCTTGTACTGATTTCGCGAAGAGTTTTCGGCAGACGTAGCAAATTTTTTTTTCGGCAGAAGTAGCATAGTTTTTTTAAATTTTAAATGGTTGTACCGTATTCGGGATTTAATCTCGGGCAAATTAAGTGAAAAAACGTAAAACGACATAAAAAATCCCATGTTTTTTTGAAAGTGTAGCTACGTCGAACACGATGGTTATCAATTCACGTAGTCTGTTCTGACCCGAGTCAAAATCAGACTGGCATTGATGTTCACAATATTGAACCTTTTCACATTGCGCTGTGTCTGTACAAGTGCCCTTTGAGAGAGCCTGTCACAGAAGTGGTGGGGGGAAGGTATACATTTTTAATTGCCACGAGTTTGATCTTTGCTGTTTAATCAATTGGCAACGCCGAGCTCGGAGGCACCGTTTAAGAGACTCTTACTAATCATGTTGCCAATCTATCAGAGTGTACACCCTACATCTCTAATTAAAATATACCGCTCTGACTGAGAAGGACCTTCCTCTCTTGACTTCGACAGTTGGATATCTGCCAAAAAGATCCCTCTAGATACAAGCATCGAACTGTCAGTTATCTCCACCAGTTTTGTGTCACCTACATCTACAGGGCGTTTATCGTGAGTAGGTGTCCTAACGGACCATAATGTTGACATACGCTGTCCTCCTATCTCCACCGGCTGATTTCTCATGAGAAAATAAAAGACTGGGGGTCCAAAGCTCGTGATTAGAACCGCCAGTGTCTTTGCAAACCAGTCGGCGTTCTGCAGCGTTGCTCTCGGTGCTACTCCTACCGTTATCATGGAACTGCGTTACGGACTGATGTTGGTTGTCCTCCTCATGGTGATTTATAAACTTATTTATCCATTTATTTATTCATTTAATTAATTTATTATTTCAATTTTTTATAATTTTGCTGGGATATTGTCTTGTGTGTATATTATACACGAACTGCAAGTGTACACGAGTTACAGTAAACAAAAGTTCTTATAGCTTTGCGAAATAGTCTGTGAAAGGAGCCGTAAAATAGGATGTTTTTTATTGCAGGCGATTACAGCCGTGGAGATGAGCAAAGACAGCAAGGATAGCAGTAGATACAGTACGTTTGGGTAACAACGCCGATTTTGCAAAACAGTTTTATTCTAAAATGTTTTTTTTTCGACATGTGATTGATAATTATCATATACGAATTTATTCTACCTCAATTTTGTCTCATTTTACCAGTCATAAATAACTTAACCAAACAACGAGAGGCACTAACAATTTCCATCTACGACTGGTAACAGACATAACAACTAGATGCATAATTTCTATTGACAGTCATACATGTATATATTTACTTTATTGACCATTTTAGAAAACAACGAATGTACCGGAAAGAAAATGGGCGATAAGTTCGCGGTTCAAGGTGAATGTAATGCTTACATCCATTGCGCCGGCCGATGGAAAAAGCCCACGAAAAAAACATGTGAGGATGGAAAGGTCTTCGACTCCTCTTTGGGGTATTGCAATGACGCTTATGCGTTGTCTGCGGATAACCCCTGCTACAGCCCGATGAAGACCGAGGAAAAAACCACCCCCTCCACTCCCCCCTCCCCTAAATCGACGGTCGTACCTCCCGCTAAGGACCTGTGTGCAGACAAGAAACAAGGCGACAAATTTGCTGTACCGGGCGAATGCAATGCATACTACGAGTGCGTTAGCGTCTTTAAGAAGACCCGTAAGAGAGAATGTGCCCCAGGGACGGTGTTTGACGCGTCTGTGGGTGTATGCAACCACGCTTATGCATTGTCAGCAAGTAACCCATGTTTTAGCCCAATGAAACTCACGGAGAAAGCCACACCCTCCACGACATCCATGACCAAAGAAAGCACTACTCCAAAACCTCCCACTGTGCCGACTATAAAATCCACTGCCATCAAAACCACACTAGAACCAAGTACTACTAGTAAGACAACCCCAAAGCCCCCAACAACCCCAGAACCAACTACGACTACGACTACACCAGAACCAACTACGACTACGACTACACCAGAACCAACCACTACTACGACAACCGCAAAACCCACAACAACTCCAAAACCCACAACAACCCCAGAACCAACTACGACTACACCAGAACCAACTACCACTACGACACCAGAACCAACTACGACCGTCCCACTCGGTAAGTGACGGTTTGTGCAATTTTCAGTTGAAGATAACATTTATTTATTACACATGTACTTTTTGTTGAAGAAACCAAGCACACAGCTAGACCAGTGGAGGATTCAGGGTTTGAAGAGAGGTGAAGGGCAAATCTATTTTTTTGTAGAGGGTTTAGCAACGGCTGGCAATTATCCTGTGGGTAAACTAATGTTTACTAAACACTAGATACTTACTTTTGTCTCTGATATTACTTTCCAGTGGTTAAAAAGGCTGCTACCCTTAGGATAACTGTCTAGAGTATAACAATTTTATTCAAAGGATAGTGTTATCCTCAGGATAGCACTATCCAGTGTTAATGAAACTGGGCCCAGACAAATGCACAGCACTGCGACAAGTGATCAAAGTATGACTTTCATCTTCCGCCATTTTCTCATTACAGATAAGTGTGCCTTCAAAGGGCAGTACTACGCCAAAAACGAGCAGTTCAGTGATGGCTGTGACAAGATCTGTGTCTGCGTGGAGCCTCCGGATGTCTACTCGTGTACAGAAAGGTGAGGTTGATAAAGCAGTCTATCTATGGTTCATTTAGATTAGGTCAGTGACACGAACCACCCCATGGGGTCTTCTCAGTGGGTCACCTGTAACGGTTGTTCCCACTACCAGAGCCGAAGTCGGTAACGCAGTGACTAGTCTTGAAAACATAGCCAAACTCGGTGCTTCTCATTGTAGTCAACAGAAGGACGCAGGCTAAATGCTTAAATCAGTTAAGGTAGGGAGGTATACATTGACGTCTGCATATATAGGTAGGCAGGCAGTAAGTCATGCACGCACATGCACAATTAAGTCAATTAAGATTCAGCAAGGTACATATCAATAATAATGATAACCTTAAATCCCATGCTGTTAAACTTGACTGACCCGAAATGTTTGACAACAACACAAAATATTTTTATCTTATAAGTTCTTATACTTTATAGAAAAATATTCAAGTGGATAGGGCCTATGTTTCGCCATTGGGTTCAATTTCTCTTTTCTTTTCTTTTTTTTGTAGGTAGAAACAAGGGTCCAAAAAATAACCTGGTTTGCTCGTATCAACAGCAAACAAAATTTATACATACAAATTTATTTAAGGAGGGCAAAGGTACCCCTCGGACAATACTATCACCATGCTATCTGTCCTTATCTGTCCTTGTACCTGATTGGGTTTATTTGCTCTTGTCTTCCCAACAGACCGATGCTGTCTGAATTTTTTCTCCTCTAATGAGATAAAATATGCAGCTTCTCCCGATACACCATGCATCCACTGTTAATTCAAAATTGACAAGCATATGTGAAAGCATCGGTGTTTCTAGGATATTTAAAGGTATCTTATCCGAGATTTTCCTGCCAAATCGAATTTTAAAGAAGTGATTTTTCCTGCTCACGGACCATTGCTCGGCCACTCCCTGTATTTGGAATCGGTGATTTATACCATTTTGCTGAATTTAATGGGTTCTTAATGTTCTCCGTAACTTTTAGACCGCCATGTATTCCTGTTCATTAAAAAAACGACATCAGGTCCTTTTCATTTGATGGGTTTATTTGATAGTTTTGCAGGGTATTTAGACGTGGAAAACTACTTTGGGAGAGTTTCAAACACGGATAGTTTGCCTTTAATAACTATCCATCCCTGTGGAATGTTTGTGTGATAAATGTACTCTGCTGCGTGCGTTAGTGGGCGTGTCAAGGCAGTACAGTTTTGGAGACTCTTATCAAATGTTAACGTCAAATATGGGTGTGCGTGTGCGCGTGTTCCTGCTTGCCTACCTATATGAGCAGACTTTGACGTCAACGTATGCCTCCCTAACTTGAGGCTGAACGGAATGGAACAGCTGTAGCTTCTTACACCTCCACAATATTTTATCTAAGTTCCACCGAATATGTGCTGGAGGACGAAAGGTTGGGCGTGATGTTGCGTATGGGAACGGAAGTGTTACTCTAATCTTTATGAATGGTCAGTTTCCCAAAGCCCATTAAGTTTCGTTTCCTGTGATGCGTCAAACACGTATTGTTTGCAATGTAACCTTGTAGAGTGAAGAAAATAAAATGTATACTTATACCATATTGTTTAATGCAAACTTTCTTGGTGAGAAGGTAAGGCTGTGAGACCTACAAATACGTAATGGAGTGGTCAATAGGCGCTTCAGACTATTATGTTGGAAGTAAACGCCAATGGGAGTTCAAATAAATTAATTCAGATTTTTAAGCGTCTACTTTAAAATGGTGCTCATACTCTTGCTTGTGATTAACTCTGGCGACTAGGTGGTTTTCTGATAGCAGATGCGCTTAGTATAATACAACGAAGAAGAAGAGAAATGCCTCTCGGTCTGAAAAAGTCAAGATTCTGGGCCACTTTCAAGTTGGGCCAACTAATTAAGTAAAGAGGTCCACTTTTGCCGAAAAAGAACCCCGTTTGAAATTGCTGGCTATGATGTTGTCAGATAAGCACAAAATTTAATACATTGCAGGTGCTACAAGTGGAACCTCGCTCAGATGCCGCCAACTTGTCAGTACGAGACCGTCGACGGCGAGTGCTGCAAGAGTCTTCAGTGCGCGAACCAAGTCTGGAATCTGAAGTACCTGCCGCAAGGCTGCAAGGTTCTTAAAGACAACGGTCTCCTCTGTGAGAACGTGCCCGTCGCTGCTCCGTAAGAGAGTTTTAATCATTACCTTCCATCAGTTGACTCTAACCAAATTTAAATTGTTTCTCTGTCAAATGAGATTTGATATTGAGCCCAGTTGAATTACTTTGCATTGAGTGCTGCGAACATAAAGAACCGTGGCTTTAGTGTTCTGGTTTTTGAACTGATCAACACATAAATTATACGACTGATTAAAAGAGAACGTGAATAAACAATTTCTTCAGATTTTACATTGGACTCCTGTTTTGAGGTGCGTATTTATTTCCCTCAAATTTTGAAATTTTGCTTTTTGAAAGATAACATCCGACGCTTTCAAACCGCGTTCTAAACTAACCGGAAAAAGGCCAGTTAGCATCACCTGCTAACTCCGATTACAATATTTCTGGTGGAAGATGGTCTGGTTATTTTAAACTTCCTCAATATGCTTTCCTGCTATAGAAAATACAAAGATAAATAGCTGTAACCTTATAGATTTTATTTCCTGCAGCTCAGATCGTCACATCATATACATGTCGTGCATGTAAATGTTGCATGTTAAATTCAGAAATCACTGTAACAGTTCCTTTGTACACAACGTCATAGAAATTGGACATTCCGTAACAATCTTGAAAACATAAACAGTGTGAATTAAGATGTCAGTTAATGTGGATATCGAAACTTGTTGGTGTAAAATTTAAAATGAAACCTCTGGTATCTTGAAACTACCACAGTCAAAAACCTATGGGTATTAAAAAGGAAAGTTATCTTATTCTGTGAAGCATCAGACAACCTTGCTAGAATTATACAACCATGCTAACAGAAGACAGTTTTATTGCTACCCCTTGTTGTTTCCAGTTGGCATTCTTTATCTTCCTGTTTTCACTACCTGGGAAATGGTAAAACAAGGATTGTGTGGAAAAAGAACTGACCAACATTTCAACCCAGGCTAGTTATTGCTTAAGAATAAGATATATTGATTAAAGGAGTAGCTGTCCTCAATGGTGTTACATGACAAGACACAGAGGGGCAAAGATTATGTCAAAAATAATACCACTAGTTATTTTATATGATGAAAAATTCATGAACACAGATGAAAAATCCCTTCCATTAACTTTTTTGTTATTACAATAATAAGTGCTATATAAATGTATCATTTGTCCATCAACTTCTCCAAAAAAATAAAAATAATAAATAAATGCAATAGTAATGACACAATTAAATTCTTGTGATTCTTGTATCAAGTAACATTCCATATCAAAATAATGCGCAGATCTTGCACCAAATATAGGTGATTAAAAATCAATAAAAGCCAAAAAGCCAGAAAAAAAATCAATGAACACACTGGGACCTTTTTCATTTTTTACCTGTGTAGGTAAAAATCATAACATCCTTACAACAGTTTGATCAAGTTGCTCCCCCCCCCAAAAAAAAAGATGAAATAAATACTTCACACAATCCCATTACACATCCAATGTTCACCTTACATTAATATGTTACTTTTGTTACCCATTTGTGACATATACTCAAATCTCCATCCCACTTAATTTTTTACCAATTCAGTGGGAAAATATCACTCCGTTTACTTCTTCACCGGCTGGCACAGCCAGTGTAGCAGCTAGTGAACCATCTATGTGCTTAAGTAACCCAAACCTGCCCTACACTACAACGAATACTGCTTGTCACTACCAAATACATATATCAGCTTTTAATATATTCTTAAAATGCAGGCATTGGGTTTTGTACTCAACTACTGTCATCAATAACTTTTTAAAAGACCAATAAATACCATAATGTGGCTACTATACTGAAGTTTTCTGAACACATCTTCACAGTTGTTTTTTTCTCCTTAGTCCAAATAAGTTTGTAAATAAAAAGTCTTTGNCCTGTGTAGGTAAAAATCATAACATCCTTACAACAGTTTGATCAAGTTGCTCCCCCCCCCCAAAAAAAAAGATGAAATAAATACTTCACACAATCCCATTACACATCCAATGTTCACCTTACATTAATATGTTACTTTTGTTAACCATTTGTGACATATACTCAAATCTCCATCCCACTTAATTTTTTACCAATTCAGTGGGAAAATATCACTCCGTTTACTTCTTCACCGGCTGGCACAGCCAGTGTAGCAGCTAGTGAACCATCTATGTGCTTAAGTAACCCAAACCTGCCCTACACTACAAGGAATACTGCTTGTCACTACCAAATACATAAATCAGCTTTTAATATATTCTTAAAATGCAGGCATTGGGTACTCAACTACTGTCATCAATAACTTTTTAAAAGACCAATAAATACCATAATGTGGCTACTATACTGAAATTTTCTGAACACATCTTCACAGTTGTTTTTTTCTCCTTAGTCCAAATAAGTTTGTAAATAATAAGTCTTTGCTTAAGG